CAGAGATTTTTTGCATTAAATTCAAATGCATTGCATAACTTGCATTTCCAAAACAAAGATATAGCTCTCTCTATTCTTGGAATTCTAAAAGAATAACTTTAGATGGAGTCATCAGTAGTTCTTTTTACTAGCTATTCATGGCTATTTTCCACAGAACAGGAGTTTTACCAATCTTTGTTCACATATGGGCACCTCTCTGGACCCGAACCCTTGCTGCAGTACTGCTTGGCTTTGGTTACTTCTGTCACATCACATTACATGCCTTTGTAGCACAGATCCAGTTACAGAATTATGCTGGCTTTGCAACGCTGCTTTTGGGGAAGGAATCAGGCAGCAAGATTTCTGCAGTAGCAAAAACATCCCACGCAGATGTATCTTACGTTGGTAAAAGAGCCCTTTAACAAGCCCAGTTTACCACAGTGAAGGGGCTGTGCTTCTACTAGGGGCTCTGGCAACATAGCTGTGCTGATTAAAGCTTTATAATGTAGCTAGCCCCTAGTTTTGGTCATCTATCAGCATCAGAGATTCAGGCATCAAAATCAGTTCCTTTAAACATGATGATAAATTCAGACTAATTCCAATACTGCCCAGTCACTGGCTGTTTACAGAGCAGAAATTTTCAGGGAATTGAGGAAAAGTGGCCATCTAAATAATAAAAATCACCATACTGTTAATATATGTATTTTCTACCATGGTTGTTTCAAATATCACATTTGCTTCCAGGAAGTATATCAGAAAGCAGAGTCTAACACTCATTTCTGTTTTGGTTTTTTTTTTGTTTGAATCCTGAAATAAGATCTCTTTTTATACAAAGTATTATAATTTCTGTAAAGCTGTGTAAGAACAAGCAAATTATCTCAGATTTTTGAGATACCGAATGACATTCAGGGCTTTTGCATGAAAAACAAAAAAAAAACCAAAAAACCCAATACCAATACAGAAGGTTTTCAGATAGCATCAGTGAGACTGAATGCAATTTACTCATCTGTAGAAAGTTTATTTCAGAACCACTTTAATTCTGCATAATCAAACAAAAAGCCTCACAAATTTTTGCCAGCTTATACTTCTTTTACTAAAACTATTAGGAAACCAGTGGACATTGGTCTCTCAGTGAAGACAAACACTAACAAAGACAAATAAGTATAGAAGGGTTTTTTTCCCATACCTGCCAACTTCCATATAGTATTATAAGTGCAATCACCATGAAAACAGTAATTCACGTATGCGTACTGTGCTACTTATTCACTTCAATTTCTGTTGCAAAAATGTTGAAACACATTAGAGATCTCTGTTATTTTACGCTCCCTCCCCTCTTTCCATTTGATTTGCTCAGATAACCTGATGCCTTTTTCATAGCTGTAGGTAAATAGAACTTCCACAAATCTGTCCAAATGCTGGCTTGCCAAAGAGCAATGTCCTGTACAACAGAAGGAAAAACATGAAATGCACATTAATCTTTAGCCTTGTAACTCAAATACCTTCATTGATAAAGGCTATTACAGTGATTTGCCAGAGAGAAGTGAGTTTGAGCATGTGATTTTGTTCAAGTTGGTTTTATTTGCTTTTCTTCAGAAATAAACCAGCTCATGCTGAGCAAGACATTTGCATCTAATCTGCTCAGAGGCACTATTAAGGACATGTTTTAAAACCCAGAAATTTGGTGTGGTCTCTGGTGACAGTGTTGACAGGAAGATGACAAGACCAGTCACTTAAAATGACCTACCTTTTTTACAGTAAGCTTGGGATTCTTTTTTGAACTATTAGTAATAATATTAGGTATATAAACAAACATACTTTCTTTAACAACCCTGTAAATCTATATCTGATAAATCTCTATTTTTGTTCCTGTAAACAAAGATATGCTGTGAAAAAACTAAAAGGGAGGCAAATTCTTAAGGAGTATATTTATTTCTTCTGTTTCATTGCCTAGAAAAATTTCTACTCTCAAATCAGTGAAAGCAAACCAGGCACTGGATTTATGTAGTACTAGTTAAGATAGACCAGAGTGGAGTTGGGGGCTGCTACAAGTCCCCACTGTGTCATTTAAACACATTCACAGGTAGGTAGATTTCACTTTAGACCAGCTCATCTGATCATCATTCTGTCCGCTGATCCTAGCCAGGTCTAAGAGGTCAACTGTCACAAGCTGGATCAGTGATCACAGTAACCTACACAAAAAGCAATCTTGGTGACACCAAGCTGGGTGAGAGTGTTGATCTTCTTGAGGGTAGGAAGGTTCTACAGGTTCTACAGAGGGATCTCAACAGGCTGAATCAATGGGCTGAGGCCAACTGTATGAGGTTCAGCAAGGGTCAGTGAGGGACCCTACACTTGGGTCACAACAACCCCATGTAACACTACAGGCTTGGGGAAGAGTGGGTGGAAAGCTGCTTGGTGGAAAAGGACCTTGGGGTGCTGGCTGACAGAGCTGAACATGAGCAGCTCATGCTCAGGCAGCCAAGAAGGCCAACGGCACCCTGGCCTGTATCCTGTGTTGAGTTCTGGACTCCTTACTACAAGAGAGACATTGAGGTACTGGTGTGGGTTCAGAGAAGGGCAACAGAGCTGGTGAAGGACCTGGAGCACAAATGTGATGAGGAATGGCTGAGGAACTGAGAGGTTTAGTTTGGAGAAGAGAAGGCTCAGGGGGGACCTTATCACTCTCTACAACTGCCTGAAAGGAGGACTGAGAGAGGAGGTGGCTGGTCTCTTCTCCCAAGTAGCAAGTGATAAGACAAGAGGTAATGGCCTCAAGCTGCACCAGGGTAGGTTTAGACTGGGTATTAGGAAAAAACTTCTTCACTGAGTAGATAATCAGGCATTGGAACAGGCTGCCCAGGGAAGTGATGGGATCACTGTCCCTGGAGGTATTTAAAAAATGTGTAGACATGGTGCTTAGGGACATGGTTTAGTGGTGAAATTGGCAGTGCTAGGTTTACGGTTGGACTTGATGATCGAAAAGGTCTTTTCCAACCTAAATAATTCTTTGATTCTATGATTATATTAATTCTTTAAGTATTTATTCTGCTTTTTCTCCTTAATAATTATTCTACAATTCTATTTCCTCCATCTGTTAGAAGAATTCAGACCCTAATTGCTATTTCAATGCAGCTGAGAGTAGATTTGTCTGAAGTATTTTAATATGAAAGGAATATACATGATTTATTACTTTGTTCTTGATATGTAAAATTTATTTATATAAGCATGAAAGCAAGTAGCTTTGTATGCTCATTCCTACAAGTCACTTGAATCCATAAGTGTGTCTTTTCTAAAGCAGTCTGTTAAGTCTCCACAAAACCATGGAGCACAGGGGTAGCCCTTTCAAATTAATGCAGCAGGTGAGCATATCATAGACAAACAGCTGTCTGGCATTTCCCAAATGGCAGTACCATCATCATGAAATAATAGCAGAAAAACTGCATAGGTCCAGGAAGTAAAAATGGAAGCAGATCTTTTGCACAGGTCCCACATCTGGAAATGGAGCCACCTCCCACGACAAAGTCATCCTTAGGCTGCTGAGGAAACTGTCTTGTATAGAGAAAATACCTTTTTTCAGGGGCAGTAGTCAGGACCCCTTCCTAAAAGCTATTTTAGTTTCCTCAGTGCTGCAAAGTATGAAAAATATTTTTGTATTATGAATATCATGTTTTATTCTCTCCTTTTTCAGAGCAAGTCCTTTGCTTTGTGTTAAATAGTTCTCTATATATATACTTTGAGGTTTGGGGTTTTGTCTTCTTTTAAAGATAGATGAACATTGCACCATCTTGCAGAGACAGATCTCTGTAGCCTGAGATGCTGCCATGTATTTGCACAAAAAGTGTCACATTCGCACAAATCCGCACAAACTTCTTGCTGCCATGTATCTGCACAAAACGTGTCCACTTTGAACATCCTAAGGACCAAAAAGTAGGAGGAGAAGCACAATGGGTTTGGGAGCACCAGTAGCTTCCCACTGTGCAGACCACAACCCAGCCTCATCTGGGGACTGCAGAATTCAGGGCTGGAACTGCCAGGGTGCAAATGTGGTTACTCATGAAGCAGATCTGCTAATGGTGACTGCAGCCCAGGCTGGTGTGGAGATACCTGTCATTCAGAGGCACACACAGCCCTTGGCAGCTCTTGTGCTGTGGAGATGCTCAGTGTCACTCTGTGTCTGTCTTCTCAGCTTGGCTGTATTTGCTCAGTGCTGAAACTGATTCATCAAGCACAGGAGGGCATTGTTGGAAGGAGCAGAGGAAGAACCTGGCTGACCTCAGGCTTGTGGCAAAGAGTTGGTCAGGCACCAGCATGCAGGAAGCCACTGCCCAGAACTGGAGTCTGGGAAGAAATGTTTTGGAGAGGCCACCACATCCGACCTAAGGGAAAGACTCTGTTGATCATGGCTTGGCTTCCAACTCAGTCACAAACACAAACTTGCTAAGCCTGCCAGCTTAGCAGCTTCGTTGACCTCAAAGCACAATGTCTCTGTAATGTAACCCTCTTCTTCCTCCCTCCCTCCTTACATTGCCTGAACTTCATTACTGGAGGTCTGGGTTCAATTACAGACTTTATTTTAAGAGCTCAGTGCCTGATTTAGAGAAATCTCAGTTGGCTCACCCCAAAGGGTTCCTTCTTTAAGAGTAAAGCATTGAGATATTCAGCTGATGTGCTGTCACTGGGCTGGTTGCAACCAGGCAGCTTTGAAGTAAAACAACATCCATAACAGATTAGTTTGCTGTGATACTTGTTCTTACTCATTTGTAAAACCTCAGTTTCCCTTCCTCAAGAGTTCTGACTTGGACAATTTCCAGTAACAAGGCCCCTACTGTTAACGAGACCACAATCTGCTCTAAATTAATTTTTAAAGAGATTTGGTGGGATTTTTTTTTCAGTAGATGGTGATGTTGTATACTTTGGAAATATTTGAGCATGATATGCTCTTTGTTAGATTGTTTTAACTGTATTCTCTATGTGAGCTAAGAGATAACATCTTTATCACATAGCCTGTTTTTATTTTTTAGGAGAGCCTGAAAGCTTTTGACCGGGAAGTAAATGAGTTTGTGGACTATATGTTTGGGCCTCGAGGTAAGCTGCTCCACCTACAGCCCTTCCAGGAAATAATACCTATCCAGATTACCACTCAAGAATATTCCAATGAATAGAAGCAATCAAAATCTTCACTGAGAGATTATTCAGATAGAAAAATGTGGACAAGGCAGAATCACAGTATTTACAGGAACACACCATTATTGTAGGAAATCTATGAATGCACTGCATTTATAGAAAGCCAGTAGATTTCTGTTTTGACTCTTTGACATATTACCTGTAATAGAAATTAAAACCACTCACGGATTATACTGAAGGTGAAAGAAGTTAGACTGATTTTTTTTTTTTTTTTTTTTTTACTTAGAAATCACTAGATTTGGGAGTCCATCCTTTCTAAGAATGTCAAAGGATTTCAATTTTGCATCCTAATGTAGATTAAAAAAAAGGGAAAGCCTGGATTTTTCTGAAAGTGGAAGATCTGTTTTGGGGCTGATTCTCATTCATAACCCAGTTATTATTTAGTCCAGTTACCGGTCTTAAAAATCAATCACATGGTTTATATTTTACTTAATAACTCCTGAAATACAGCTATACAGTACCAGTACCTGGGAACTACACTGTGTTTAGTCATTAGCAGGTGTGGCTAAGAGCAGGAGAAGAAATAGAAAGCCATACACTAGTTCTCGGAGGCAATCTCTGCTTTCATTGGTGGTAGCAGGCTAACACCAGGTGCAGTATGGCAGTACTAGAATAAGGGGTGTACTACCAAAGATCTGAACTTCATTTATATGTAGGCATATTTTATGCCTTTGTTCACTGGTTTCAGCTGGACTTTGTACATAAATGTACTTCAATGTTTGCTTTTGAACTAGCAGACCTAGTTCTTTGGATCAGGGAACAGAAACTGCATCTCTCAGTAAGAAGCAGTCTAATATTTTGGTGTTGGTCCACATTATTCTGGATAGGAGATTACCTAGGCTCAAGGCAAAATGAGAGAGAGTGAAATAATGTTCTGTAAGAGAGCATTTTTCCAGGGTTGCCTTCATCTGCAGAGTATTGTTTGGTGTTATGGAAAATTAAGAAATATTGAATTGCGGGAACTAAATCTAGCTAATTGGTTGCTTGTTTTATCTGAAAGAAACAGAACATCAGTAATACGTACATTTTAATAAAGTGATGATAAAGTTATAAGTACCCCTCACATGAGTATGAACAGTAGCAAGGCATTGGCTCAAAACCATTTAACTTCTGCACCTAGAAAGATCTGAATCTGCTCAGACACCAACTGGCTATACAGAAACTTGATTCCAAATGTTTCTAAACTTCACCGATAAATGCCCAATTCCTTTAAAGAGCCTGGGAGGCGTGCCACTCATTTCAAAGGAGCCAAGATTTCACCCCAAGGGTCTGGCACGTCATGGCCAATGACTGTGAATGAACTTATTCACAGAGCAATGTGAGTTGTGGGCACCTGCTTCTTCCCCTGTTGTAGTCCAGTGCTTTCCCACTTTGGCTTTATTCACTGCCTTGGTCTCAAGTTCAGATGCTGTCTGGGTCCCAGATTGTAAAAATAATCCTTCCTTCTATTGACAGTGCACCTTTACAGTAATTCAAATATGGAGATCAAACTGTCAGTCAACAGAAATGCTTGTGATCTCTCTTTCTAATAACTTTAATAACTCCTTCTAATAACTTTTTTCCTCTCCATTCCTGCTTTGTAATAGATGGTTGTGTTGTTATTGCTGCTTTAAATTCTGCACCTCTCTTAGAGGTTTTTGGTAGTCCAAAAGGGAAAGTCAAGAATAGGAGAGTATTGCACTTCATGGCAATTTAGGTCTGGCCAGAGGTATTTCCTGCAAAGGATCTAACAACCCATGTGGAGCCCAGATTCAACAGATGAGCATTACTGCAATGGAATCGTGGTGGGAAGTGGAAGGAGACTGTAATGAGCAAGACAGCTGATGTTCATAGTGTGGTTCATAAGCAGATTACTCCAATTCACTTAAAAATCTCAGTTTACATAAATGCATATATTTCCAAGGAAAGAATAGTCAGAAAGAATGCAGTACAGCAAAATTGCAATCAGCTGCAGTTTGTTAAATTGCTGGGGCACATTTGGTTTTTGCATCATCCATTGCCCAGTCCTTTCCAAATTCAACACAGGCAGAAAAACAGTAATTCTTTTTTCATGCACTGTGAATAGCTTTTCTTTCATAATTTTTAATGTAACCTTAGTCTTTGTAAAAAACAAGTAATTTAAAATAATTTCTAAGAGCAGAAATAGCTACTGTTACCTGCACAATAGCTTCTCACTGACTTATAACTTCATTTACTCCATAATTTGTGACAGATATAAAGTAACCTTTATGAAAAGCTGGCCATGATGCTCTTTGTTCCTTTCATAGACAAACGTCTGCAGATGGATATTCTGCAATACTAACTCTAAATTTTGATCCATCTCAAAAAAAAGAACATAAAAGAAAACATTCCTTTTGCTCATGATATCCACTTGTTCATAGGACAACAAAGCACTGCCTCCAGATTGGCATGTGGGATTAGGGTTTGCTCATATACACTGAACTATGTGATTACTGCCAATGGGATTACTTGTGTGAATAAGGCAAGCAGGATTTGACCTTAATATTTCATTTCAGGGCCAGGAAAATGGGACAGAAACTGTGAGAAAGCAAGCCCTTGCCTTACCAAAGACCTCCGATAGCCAAAGTAAACATTTGCCATTTATCTTTCATATTTCATGTTTTTGAAAAATACTCCCCTAAGTGTTTTTTTAGCAAATCTTATATACCTTCTGTCGTGGTTTAAACCCAGACAGACAGCTTGTTACCCACTCCCCCCCTTCTTGTCCTCCCCCTACTCCTGGGGGAACGGAGAGGAGAATCAAAAAGAAATGCAACTCCCACGGGTTGAGATAAGAACAGTTTAGTAACTAAAGTATAACACAAATCACTGCTGCTACCACCAATAATAGTAATGATAAAGGAAATAACAAGGGAAGAGAATACAACACCCCACCACCAGGCAACCGATAATTTGCTCCCCCCAGCCCAACCAAGCACCAACCGATACCTCCTCCAACCCTGCAGTCCACTCTAGCCCTTCCGGGTAACTCCCAGTTACATCCTGGGCATGACGTGCTGTGGTATGGAATACCTCTTTGGTCAGTTTGGGTCAGGTGTCCTGTCTCTGCTTCCTCCTGGCTTCCCCTCCTCCCTGGCAGAGCATGAGGCCCACAAAGTCCTTGGCCAAACCAAAACATCAGTGTTATCAGCTCTGTTCCCAGCTGAAAGTCAAAGCACAGCACTGCACCAGCTACCAAGAAAGAGAAAAATGACTGCTGCTGCTGAACCCAGGACACCTTCATTTAATTGTGCAAATGAAGAATGAAAATAATATATGAACTAGCAACTTTACATGCATACTTTTATTGACTACTATTCGCAAGCTATCTGTTGAGCAGATTAAGATATGATTTCATTAAATATAAAGTTAAAACATTAAATTACATTTTAAAAAGCATATAGGAATGTTTTCTTTTTATTTTCTCTTTCCTGTTCAAATAAGGAGATTTAAGTGACCTTATTTATTAGGGGATTCCGTGCAGTTTTCAGCACACATTCTCTGAATTAGTATGCAGTTTCGGGGAGGCAAAAGCCACAAATAAGTTTTGCAACCAAAGCATGAAAGATTCCCTCTCACACTTTGAGGAGATTTTTTTTATCATAATGTGATTTGCCTTATTTTAACCATACTTTACCATATCCTTCCTAATTGTGTGCATCATGTGTTTCTTTTCAGATCCCAGGGTTAGAGGATGGTTTCTTTTGGACTCTTACCTTCCCACTTTTTTCCTTACTGGAGCATACCTACTGTGCATATGGCTGGGCACCAAGTTCATGAAGGATAGGCCTCCTTTCTCCCTCAGGACTCACCTCATTGTATATAACCTTGGGATTACACTGCTCTCCTTGTACATGCTCATAGAGGTAAGCGTTCTTCCATGAAGCATGCCTGAGGAGGGTAAGCAATATACAGTTTTTAGCAGGAATATCTTAGCGACATCGTCTTTCTGGGAAATGTAACAACAGCACATTTAAGATCAAGAAAAGTCCCTTCACAACTAGACAGTGAGCTGTACTGTAGCTTCTCAGCTTAGATCCCAGAATGCTTTAACTGTTCTTTCTGAGCCACAGTCTGCATGTGGGGACAGCTTACAGCTGTCCAGGCCAGTGTCCACAAACATGAATTTGAATCTGCAGCAGTCACTCTGCTCAAACATGCCTACATGCACCTCATTCTTCAGCACCCATGAACTGGGTTTTATTCATATGACTGCCTATGGAATGATTTTTCTATGTACAAATGTCCAGGCTTGAATATGAGCAGATTTATAGATGAGAGTAAGTACTGATTTATTTATGGTATTGACAATTCAATGTCATCTTTCTGCTCCCTGATTAAGAAGCTTTCCTCATATGGTCAGAGAGTAAGAGATGTTAAAAACCTGCCACTTCAGCCAAAAGCAAGTGCTGTGGGACTTGGAAGCTGAATATGGTCACACAGATTAGTCCCTAAGTACTTATCAGGAAGAAACATGCTCACAGAAATCAGGATCCTTCCAGGGCCTGAAGAGAGGTTTGAATAATTTGATGATTTGGCAACAGCAGAGGACTCAAACAGTGCTCCTCAGCAAGAACGTGTGTTTTCACTTACCACTGGGGAGCAGAAGCCAAAAACCACTATTTTTATATTATTTGGGAGATTCCCATTCTCAGCCTTGTGACAATTGAGGTACTTTTTAATATTAAAGTGTTAACATCCATCACTTGCAGCCCTAAAAAGCAAAAATGCAGCACTAAAAGAGAAACCTGACATTTTCTGTCTTGGCTTAAAAAGTGACCCCAGCCATGAGAAGCCCTGGCTGAAGGATGTGCTCTATGTCATGGTATGACCTGTGGAGGTGTGAGCTGACATTGCTGCTTTGCCTGCAGAGCCTTGATGCATTTCTTGCTCCCTGGCTTCCAGGCCACAACAGCAGCTTCCTTGAGAAAAACAAGGACCAACTATTCTGTTGGTCAGACAAGAAACTGTAGAAGCTAAACAGGACCCCAGAGGTTTCACGTTTTAAATTTATTTGAGCTAAACACCAGGTGACTGGTTAAAAGGCAGCAGAGCTTTTTAGGTTTGTGCCTTTGTGCAAAGGACTGATTGTGCTACACTGAGCATTGTCCTGCCAAAGCTCCATCTGGCTTCAGCAGTTGCTGTGGGTGTCTGAGATTGCAGGATCAGGCCAGAGCAGAGGAGAAACCAGCACAATTGCTTGAAGGTTTGGTGACTCCATACTGATTGTCCTCCAGAATTCAAATTAGCACTTTGATGTTTAAATCCCTATTTTGCTTGAAGGTATACAGATAAGTCTTCAGTAGCAGGACTTGGCAAAAAGGATTAACTGAGAACAAAACTACTGATCCCTTCCCCTTGAAGGCTGATTTGGCTTGCCACTAGTAAATGAATGGACAGAAAGAATTTTAGTAGGTCTCACCCGCGTGAATGAAGCAAACCTGGGTTTTGCCACCTTCACATCCTTGAAGGAATTGTGCCTCTGCATAGAGACTGCCCTGTCCTTCCTGAGGCTGACTTTGCTTCAGATGATTGCTGAGTTGTGTTACTGATCAGATTAGCCCCTTTAGACCTCGATTCTGGAGCTAGAGACTACTGATTTTTGCCTCCCAGGCTGCAGCTGGGCATGGCTGGCAATGGCTCAGAGCTCCACATTCTGTATTTGCTGGGAACTCAGGGACCTCAGAACCGATCTGCACTGCCAACTGGTTTACTGCAGATTTCACTCTCAGCCCTGGACTGCCAGCCAGGCTGGTTTTACGTTGTGTAAAACACTTCCATAATAGTGTTTCTGTCTTTTTCCATAATCTACTTGCTTGATTCCTATCACAGGCTCTCCTGTGAAGGAGCAGAATGGAAGTTAAGACTTGCAGATGTGACTGAGGTAGCTTGCACATCCTTGCTTAAGGAAAATAGGCAAATGGGAAAATGGAAATAATCTTCAGTACTGAGTAACATTATGGTGACTCAACATTACAAAATGTCTCATTTCCGAAGCTTCTCTGCAGCCCTTATTCCCTCTGTCTTTTATAGACTGTGAGCTCTTTAAGGCAAGAGTTACCTATGTTTAGAGCATTCTGCATGGTGGTTTCTTATGTGAACACAACTGATCCCTCCAGTGAGTGTGATTCCAGATTAATTCCTGGTTAGAGACATCTGTAACAGTTGTCTTATTCCATCATCCTCCCAGTGCATCTGAACCCCTCTGGTCTCTGTAAGAGAGATTTATCACTTAATAATAAGCTCTGCAATAGATATGAACCACCAAAAAGATACCCAAACAGTTGTTATAATTGTTCTCATCTATTCTTGGTTTTGTTTGTAAGGTTGTTATAAAACACACTTTTTCTTGTGATAGGTCCAAAATGGAGTGGGGGCTTCTTAGACATTTAAAAGAAAAAAATACCTCGCTCAAAAGAAAGGGTGTATCTCCAAATGCAGTCTGGCCCATGTTATGGCTTTAAATAAGACACATGGTAAACCAGCTGATGGGGGTACCGATGCTGCAATTTTTTATCCCCTCACTTTCATCTCCTGACCTAGTTTAGCTGTCACTTGACTACAGTTGATTTGTACAATTTCAAGGCAAGAAGATAAGGGTTACAGTGAGGAGTCATAACAAACGGCCTGTTTTTAAGTCTCAAAGGACAGAATCTTCTTTTGAGCCAGAGCTCCATGCACTGCACCATGTGCATGAAGTATCTGCGAGCCAATTTTAGCTCCATGAGCTCTGAGGTCAACCAATCCCTAAAGGAAGAACAGCTCTAGGACAACTAAGATGTGCCATTAGCACAAGGTCAGATGTAAAGCACAAGGTCTAAAGCAAAACAGCTCTGCCCAGCTGCTCTTATCCTATTGAGATGTCTCAGAATTTTTGTGTCAAGTTCAGTACCTTTGAACGCCTCCCACAGGAGTATTTTATTAGACTTTAATTTAGAATTCCGAGTCAGGCAAATAGATTTTTTGAAGTCATCAAAAGCACTTACCTCTTTCCCCATTGAATATAATGGAGAAGTGGGGCACTTGGTTTTGGAGCATGTCTTTATATACATGAAGCTTAGATGCAAGTCCTGTGCTTAAATTAGGCAGGCTGCATGGGCACTGCTGAGGGGTCAGAAGACAGTTCCTACCACCCTTGTACTACAGGAGAAACGTGCATCAGAAGTTTGTTACTGGTTGTGTACTCTTCCATACCGTTAATTGTTCATGGACCCAGGTCAAGTCTACTGATCCAACAATTTCTAGTAACATTGCCAAAAATCTGCATAATGAAAAAAAGCACCACCTTTTTATTTCAGTAAAAATAAAACTTTCAGTAATTTCACTGAATAAAATTATGCCTTTCCTCTACACAAATATCCTCCTAGAATCCTAAAAAAATCAACTATGGGCAGAAAGAAAACCAGCTGACTGTGAAAAGCAATCAGATCTTTGCACATTTTAGAATTATCTCCTATGCAAGTTAACTCACAAACCATACTCCAGGGATGCAGTCTGAGGCACCAGAGCCCAAGATAAGTTCACTGCAGGTTAAAACGTTTGCAATTCCAATGATAAATTAAAACTGGAAATAAGGGAGGCCAGTGCTGATCTCTGAATTGTGAAATTACTCAGGTGAGGCTACTCTATCTCATTAATAGGAAAAGACATAATCTCTACCATAGTCTTAGGCTGCTTTCCCCAGCAGTAAGTATCACCTCTGCCCTATTTAAATTAAATCTCAGCTGGTCATCAAGGTCTCACTCAAGTACTTTTGTCAATCAGGCACTGAGAAAACCAGAACACTGGCACCATCTGAGATCTAGAGATATATGCCATTGATGTCTCAGGCTGCCTGTATCCCCAGGTAGCTTCACATATTTACTACACCTCTAGGATCTGTAAGCAAGCAACTACATCCACATGGGGAAGCAGGACTTGCATGTGAGTACCCCACGATTCAAGGCAAAAGAGAAAAAGCAGAACTGAACAAGTATTGCAAGCACACTACATTTTTAGTGAAGCCAGAAGAAAAGACTTTTTCCTTACAGGATATTTAACAAAAAATACCTTCACTTTACCTGTTTATAGGAGCTGAAAATTCATCCCATAATTAGTCCAATTTCTAAATTACAGCAATGATTTGTGAATCTATAGTTACCAAGACAATGTAAGGCTTTTCAGGAGTACCAGAATTACCTTTTCTGTATCCTCTGACAGCAGGGTAAGGTCAGAAGCACAATACGTCACGACCATTTTTAGCCCTACACATTGCAGCTGGGATTACATTTCACAAATTAGTAGAAAGCCCAGTATAATACCTGGATTTAGAATAACAGTGGGGAATAATAAAAAAAAAAAAAAGAACAAATAAAAAAATAGGAGCACTTAAATTCAGTTTTATTCCATCATTATAATTGTTGGCATCAGAAAGATTTGCTTCCTAGCTGCACAAGTGTGAAAAAGATAGAGCTTGGGTAATGGAAGGTCTAATTAAAGTTTTAATAGTACAGGTGATGAGGAAAAATAAAAAAGACATAGATCCCAACTGACTTGAACTGTCCTGGAATTTTACTGAATTTTACTATAGAAATTCAACTTCAATATAATGATATTATTTTTTTTTTAAACTGTAACAAATGCTTATTTACTGCTTCATTAATTGTTCAGAAATTAGCAAATGTAAAATTAGTAAAGAATTATACTAGATCCATAAGAACTGGTGCTTGAGGTGAAGATTTCCTTTGACGTAATTATTTAGGACAGAAAGACTGTCTTAAACTTAGGGGAGCAAGACAAAGAGAACGAGATAAGAAAACAGAAGAGATCATGTGCACCTTTCGACCTTTTGGAAGAAGGGAAAAGTGAGGAAAAAAACCTAGACAGCAAGAGGTCACTGAGTACAAAGTGGTGAAATGTAAAGGCAAAAGCAAACATCTCTTTTGAGCAAGTAATAACCTTGAACAGCATTAAATTCCCAGATGTTCCTCCATTTTAATCAAATAATTTGTTTGGAGAGCTAAGGAGCTGACTTTGCTGTCCTTGCCTGCAGTTATTCTACACTGGACATGTTATCCTTACTTCTCAGTTTTCATCCTCCAAGTATCATCATCAAACTTGCTAATGGTGCATTCAACTCCTGCATCAGATCGTTGATAAATATATTAAACAGCACTAGCCCTAGAACTGAACCCAGAGGAACACCACTAGTGACCAGTCACCAGCCAGATGCTGGTGCCTTACCCTCTTTCTGGAACATGGGGGAATACCTTGCTGCTTCCAGACATACTCTCTCTGAGAAAGCCCAACATGCACAGAGCTTTCCCTATAACTCAAAACAGCACAGAAAAATACCAGTTAGTAGAAATAGAAATATCTATTCAGGAAATCATGTTGCTTTCCCTTCTAGCCTACTTGTAGGGGACAGATGCAGGAACAAGATACAGCTATGAGATTTTTAAGGATAAAAGCTTGAAATAAGCAGGACACAGGCCGCTGGATCCAAGCTCTTGCTGCTTAGTCTGCTCATCAGCAAGGGGAGAGGTTTTGGCCTCATATTTTGACACCTGCTGCCTGCCTGCTCCCCACCCCAGCTGAGATTTCTTACAGAGGAACCAGTTCTCATTCCTGAACAATTGAATTCCTCATTAAAAAAATTACCAACCAAACAAAAATGCATAAGTTGGGCTGCTGCAGGAAAGCAACGGTTATGAATCCTCATGCTGTTTACACTTAAGTAGATGAGGGAAGGTAAGATACTACTATAAGACCTGTAATCTGTTAAGTACAACATTAGGGCAACAGCAAAATACAAAAACTTTATTAATTGAGAGGATGTTGCTTCTTAGCAGATTTTTTTCACAAAGCAGCACTTTCTTCTTGACATGATCTGATTTTCCAAATAGCTTTGGACAACGTGTGTGTTAATGTTATCTTCAGGATAGGCTGCCAAGAATGCAAAGCATTCAAAGAATTGGTTTTGAGAGAATTTGTATTTTGAAAGAGGGAGGATTTCTCATCTCCTTAATACATGGTGCAGGTGCACCCTCTCTGCATGATTAATAAATACCATCATCTCTGCAGTTGTGAGAGTGCTCAGCATATGAAAAGGAACAGAACTGAAACAGTACAAGTAACATATGAGTTCTGTATGAGAAAACAAGAGACCTAGTAACTGAACATCTTGTGTCACGGTACCAACTTCTGTTCCAGACATTCAGCTGGCTCATTTGGTACCACTGGTTAAGCCATTTTCCTTACACGTTTTTGGTAACCAAAATGAAAGTCATGCCCTAGCATCACCAAGATTCCCAAAATGTACTCAGTCTTCCAAGTTTCCCCACTATTTTTTTATTAGCAAAATAAAAACCAGACATCTTGAAAATTAGCTTGCAAAGTAAAACAGTCAAAACTCAAAGTGGATTTTCCTCTCTTCCCTGAAAGAGACCCAGCAGTATGTAAGGTGCCTACAAGAAAGAAATGCTGAGCTGCAGAAAAGCTGACATGAAAGAGCAATGTTAAGACAGTCAAAAGAGATCTTAACTGTAAGCTGTGGCTTTTGAAACAGACACAAATCAGAGGGAACTCTTTTGCCAAATCAAACAACTGGGGAATAAGCACACAGTGTGATTTGCAAAAACTGACATTTTACAGGACTATGGAATAATGAACAAAAGAAATTAAAGACAACCTTGCAGTCAGTGTGGTATTCTTACCCCAGCTCAGTCACCTCTTATTTGGAGAGTACATCCAAGGCAGGAGAGTACATAAAAGTGGCAGCTACCCAGAACAGCAACCATGCACTAATGTCTCCCCATCCCTCATGAAGCTGGTACCTATTGCCAGCTACAGCACAGGCACAGATCTGGGGACCAAGGATTTGTCACAGGAGGGATAGCTGGGGAACTGCATGCCCTCTGCCCCCTACTCTGGGAACAGAAATGACCCCTTTGCCACTCAGCTGCTTTTTGAAAGATGATAAGGAAATGGAGTGGCACAATTTGTTTTTCTCAAGTTCTAATTCGTTTCTGTTCAGCACCTCTGCAGGTTAAGTTAGTCAGAGAGACACAACCCATGCCCCCTCTTCCCACCTGCCTGCCACAACAGGGAAAGGAGAGGAGCCCACATCTCCCAGGCCAGTGTGCTAGAAGGCACAACACCCACACAGAGGCCAACTTGGCAAGAGAAGTTCTGATCTCAGCTGTACTGTGTAAGGATCTCTAGCTAGGTTTCTGTTGTTTAACCTGTTTTTAGACTCTGGTCCCATCCTCTTTGGTTTGATGACCCTCTGACGCACTCTCTAGATGAATCCACCAAACCACAGGCTGGTCTGAAAAGGAGTGGGTTTGTTTTGATCGTTATATAGCAGTTATCTGCAAAACACTCATTCATTGCCTTTTCATCTCTCTCTGCAATCTCTATGGGTTATTTTGGCCACACACACCAGCTAGGTTAGAATTACAGGGACAATCACAGAATTGCAATTCAGAGGACAAAAATGGACTCTGGCTCTCCGAGTTTCATTGCTTTTGAAGATTAATTTATAATAAGCATTCTGAGATACCTGTTAATCTCTAGATAATATCATCAGTAATATTTTTTAAAATGTATTTACTCAAGGAATTAATTCAGTTTTATCACCAAGAATATCTCTGCTTCGTTTTTGTATAGAATGTCATGCACACACAGGAGGGTACTTTTCAGTCTGAAGAAAACCTTGAGTTGAAAGCATCCCACTTCTCACAGGATCTTGCAATTTTGCTTACAGCATAATACTTGGATCCTCTGTAGAGACTTGCATCCTCTGTAGAGACGGAGACTGACCCCAGAACATAAATTGTTTGCATCTCCACAAAAAAAAAAAAAAAGAAAACCAAAACCCCAACACTTTTTATACATTCAGTAAGAAATATATAAATAAAAAAAAAAAAAAAGAAAAAAAGAAAAAGAATCAATGAACTCTACATAGCATTTGCAGACAGCAGATTATGCTCCCTATTTTGAGAAGGCTGCAGAATGGTTTTTAGGTGGTCATTACCATAGAAATACTCTACATCAAAAGCCACCATATTGCTTTCTAGACAGCTTCTGCTCCATCACAGTGTGGTAGCCCAACATTTCATTGCTTTGTCTGCTACCCACTGCAACATGTGCTAAATCTAAGAAATGGTTTTTGTGTCTATTAATGTCTCCAGCACCATGCCCACTGTGCTCTACTTCATTCTGTAATTAACAGTGTGGGCAAAACAGATGTGTATGACATAAAGAGATATTTCTCCCATTACTCTACTTTGGATTTGACTTCTGTTTGCTTGCTTGGCATCAGGGAATTTTTCTCAAGAACAGTTTTGCACAAGTAGCTGTGCTAAGCTCTGGAGTATACTGCTTCAGGGCAGAGATACAATATTCAAGTATGAGCTTTGGAGTGAGGATCAATGCATTAAGTAACAAGAGATTTTAATGAATGCCTTGAAGGCTCTAAAGCCAGAAAAATGTAAAATATATACTATTCCAGTGTACATCTCCAACACAACCTGATGCCTTTCCTATTTCTAAACAGAAGATGTTACCAAGTTGTCTGGTTTAAGAGCATCAGTTCATGAAAGGAGTAGGAACATACTGTACATCTATGCTGCTTTTTTCAATAAACACAAAAAAACAGAGGGGTAAAAACTACTACATCTGTTCATGAACATAATTGCTCTGGTTTCTGTTCCAGCTCATCCTTGCCACATGGGAAGGAGGCTACAACTTGCAGTGCCAGAACCTTCACAGTGCAGGGGAGGCCGACATCCGGGTAAGACAAAGCAGCAGTCCTGCCCTCCATGTGGCTGGTGCAGCACACCTCTGTGTTCACAACATTTACCAGGATGTTATCAGAAGCATCTTTAACATGAGGCTTTTAATCAATACAGACGTATCCTTGCCCTGGAAAGCATGATAGGGAGCGTTTTGAAAGCCATATCTCAAAATTTGTGGTGAAAACACTTATCTATCAAGACGGAGTATATGGATCATCTAAAAACTCAGAACAAAAATCAATCTTTTAAAACATAGCACTTGTTGGGCTGTAGCTGGGAATGGATTTAAGCCCAACTCAGCTCTGGAAAACAGCAGACATTGCTGGCTTGGCTCATCTCTCATTTCAACCCTTATTTCTGCATCACAGTAATTCCATGTATTATCCTTCTGTCATTTACCATGTCAGGCTTACTTTCCAGATAACAGTTTAGCTCAGGAGCAGGAAGACTGGTTAACTTACAGAACTTTCCCTAACCCTCAAAATTTATCTGTATCATGGCAAAGAAAAGGTGTTTTCCCCCTTTCTGTTTTAACTGACTGCCTTTAATTGTTCTAAAACAGATCCTGAGCTCTGATTAAGTGTCTGAACTCTAGAGGAGGATATATTCCATTGTATTGAGTGTCAAATTTGGATTATTTAAGCAGCAGTAGCTGCCAGCAAAATCTGTTCTGTGCCAAGAAAGTGTAAATAGTAGCACCCTTAAAAAACAAAAAAATAAAACTCCAAAACCCTGAAGATAACAAAAAAACCCACCCAACTGTATTTTTGAAGAAAAAAGTAGAACAATTAGAAAACCCTTCCTCAAAACTTGTATTTTTTTAATTAATTTAGCTATATATGTATACAATCACGTTAAAAAAGTCATCTTTTTTTTTATAAACAGCCTCATTCAAAAGGAAAATAAAATTTAAGCCAGACCTTGAGCTCCTCCTTTAGTAGGATATTAATGCCTTTTGAGAACTTGCATGCCTAGTGACTGATGAAGTACAGCAATATTTAAGTCCTTTTATAGATAAATACTGATCTCCTGCTCCTTTGTTCTTGCTTGTACAGGTAGCCAAGGTGCTGTGGTGGTATTACTTTTCCAAAGTAATTGAATTCATGGACACTATCTTCTTTGTACTGAGAAAGAAAAGCAGCCAGATCACCTTCCTTCATGTGTATCACCATGCCACTATGTTTAACATTTGGTGGTGTGTTCTGAACTGGATACCTTGTGGGCAAAGTAAGTCTGTTTGCTTAATCACCTGGGGTGTAGAGTCCCCTGCTGCTGGAGAGGAATCACATCACCATGCAAAGCAAGTGTGTCACAGTGCTATATGATAGCACCTTTAAGGTTCATAGCCTTTCAGAGCAGCTGAACACCTGCAGGCAGCAGTAAAATTAAAAGCATGGTTAAAAGTTTAGGCCAAAAATATCTGAGTGTTAGGCCCTAGATTTTCCACTTATCCGACACTGCCCCTCACATTTACTTCTCTTCAAACCACTTTCAGGCAGAATAACACTGCTATAGTACACAAGAGTGATCACATACAAGAGTGATCACATACAAGACCTACTCCAAAAGCAGATGTAGCACGAAGTGATGACCCTGGTAAAGTAAGCATCAATCACAAAAAAGGAACTTAATAGCATGTTATAGGTTTGACTCCTTTATGCATCAATCTGACATTCTGCTTTAGCAAGATACTTTACTTACACAATCACTAGTTAAAATACCAGCTTGAGCTTGTTTGGTTTTAAATAAGAATACATCTCATTCATGTAGTAGAGCTACTGGACAGCCAGAACTGTTAGGGTGGTGAGACACTGGAATAGGGTGGTGAGACACTGGAACAGGTTGCCCAAGGAGGTTGTGAATGCTCCATCCCTGGCAGTGTTCAAGGCCAGGTTGAATGAGGCCTTGGGTGATATGGTTTAGTGCGAGGTGTCCCTGCCCATGGCAGGGGGGTTGGAACTTGATAATCTTAAGGTCCTTTCCAACCCTAACTGTTCTATGATTCTATGATTCTGTATGATCTTACATTTCATACTGAAATAGCTGAAGTATCAGCATCCTTTGCCTTATTATGTTTTGGGTTCAATAGACTTCACAACAGTAATCTCCAAATGGCTTGACGTTTTCCTTAATGGATTTTTATAGGTTTCTTTGGACCCACTTTGAATAGCTTTATCCATGTGCTTATGTATTCTTATTATGGACTGTCAGTCATCCCCTCTATGCGCAAGTATCTCTGGTGGAAGAAATACCTCACTCAGGCACAACTGGTATGTATCTATTTTACTCTCATATTTAAGTACCAGAAATCCTTTGAAACACCAGAGAGGGCAAAATTAATGATAAATATTGTAATTTTCAGAATTCAGCCAGTTAGAATTCAAATATAACAAGGCTATCATACAGAATAAGTCACTAGTCTGGCCTGGTATAACTTAATAAAGGAAATAATGCTTAGAAATATTTTCTACAATAGAGGAGAAAGTCTGTAGTCCATAGAACTCCACCACTTTTTATCTCTTGCACAGAAAACAGACAGTGCTTAATAATGGCAAATGGACTGATTAAAAAGTTATAAAAATTGTCAACAGAGCCAGCTCCAAGACAGACCCACTGCTGGCCAAAGCTGAGCCCATCAGCATAGCTGGGGGCACCTCTGTGATATCATATTTAATAAAGGGTAAAAAATGCTGCACAGCAACTGAGAGGGAAGGAGAGGAAAACAGGGACTTAGGGGAAGGTGGTTTTAGTTTTGTTTCACGTTATCCTCTGTTGTTAACTGGCAATAAATTAATCTTCTTGAAGTCAAGTCTGTTTTGCCTGCGATTATAATCAGCAAGTTTCACCAATTACCCTCCCTGCCCTTACCTGAATCCACAAGTTTCATCATATTTTCTCTCCCTACTCTACTAAAGAGAGGAAGTGACAGAGCATCTGGGTGGTCACCTGGCAGCCAACCAGGGTCACACCGTGGTACAAATACAAAACACAAAATCGTGTAGGACAGAAGTTGGGTGACTTCTTAAAGTCTACTCCAACAGTTGCTGTAACCAAAAAGCTGAGCCACATTAAAAGCTGCTATCAGCAAGATGTAAGGCTTGATGTGAAATAAAGTTCCTTTCACTTTTTCATCTTGGGGGCTGTTCATATTATACGGGAGTTCAGATGTTTGCAGTGAGCTTGAACACGCCTGTGTAGAAATGTGTTTTGCAAATGCCTCTTCTCTGAGATGAGACCATCCGTACAGCTGAAAAACGCTGTCCTGTTACAAATGTACCTCAGCACACTGGATTGAGGGCATGCTCACAGTCCTAAGTATGATTAGTCTTCTGCAATTCCTTCCCCATCTTCATTTGTCCCCATCTCAACTTCATTAATGCAAAACTTCTCCTCAGACCTGGGATTTCCATTTTCGGTTCAGACTCCTAAAGCTATTGTCTGGAGTCTTCCAAATTTTCGTAAGTTTCTGCCCAGTAACAGAGACAACACTATAGCTGGCACAACAAGGTCTAGAGGACAGAACAACCTCTCTTAAAAAGAAAGCCTGTATTTTGCCAACTACTCCTATAAACTTATATTTTTAGAAATCTAACCCCTGTTAAATTTTTTTAATTCCATAAAAGGGCCATTTTAACTTAACCCTCACAATACAGTCAGAAGTTTAGAAAGGGGCAATTTTCAAAAGTATTCAAAGCTTCCAAAGAGAAGAACTAGATAGCATCGTTATATCTGATTTAGCTAGCACTGACCCTTTCTCAGGAGATACTCATGCATGATCTTTCTTCCCCAGATCCAATTTCTGCTCACTATTGTGCACACACTCAGTGCTGCTGTGAAGCCATGTGGATTCCCATTTGGCTGTCTCATGTTCCAGTCCTCCTATATGGCCACACTGGTCATTCTCTTTGTGAACTTCTACATCAAGGTAAGCAGACTTCCAAGAGCTCTCTGACAACATTGAAGGATAAGAGAGATAACTTTTTGGATAGCAGTCTTGATCAACTCGCATGTAAGAAAGAACCTCAGTACTTAAAATACGTCTGTATTAAAATACACATCAGTTCAGAATGATAGCTACAATCATGTGTGCAAAACAGTTATTCAGTAGCAATGACCTCTCCAATGCAGCTCAGCTCTTCTGCACTTGCACAGCAAGTCAGGTACCACATTCAGGATTTAGGAGGTTTGACCTTGCTCTGTTGGGCACCCTTTTTGACTCTACCTCCTTCCAAGGGGAAAAAAAAAGAAACAAGCAACTCTGTATTGTTTACTTCAACTTTTTTAGCAGGGAATGCATACATAAATCTTTTAGTGAAAAGGACTTAAAATCTCTTCTGACATTAAGTAATGTTATACAGTAATGCAGTAAGATAATATCACCTACGGCAGTGCAAATAATACATGTAACACAGTCTAAAGCAAATATATACATCTGCATCAACAAACACCGGACAGCTCCATTTCACAGTTAACCATAAGTAGTGTTTGGGGGCACTAAATATACCCAAGTATTAACTTTGGATTTCGCTTTTATAGACATACCAGAAAGCACCTTCAAGAACAGCTACAAAGGAAACCCGTGTCACAACAGAAATCAAGAACGGTTTCCATAAGGACTACTTTGCTGCTGCCAATGGACTTCTGGACAATAAGAAAGTACAATAAGTATGGTACTTCTTGTGCTTTTTTTTTTCTAAACAAAAAAAAAAAGGGAAAGGAACAAAAAAAAGAAAAAGAAGACTGAATTACAAGCTTTAGCTTAAAACCTGATTGATTACATTTATCAGTTCTTTCTACCAGACACTTATTAATGTACCACTATGTAGGTTTTAACAAACTTGCTCTGTCAAAGATCACCATTGGAATAGAAGCGGCCAAGATCTTTATCCTGTGAAAAAGAAAACCTTTGTGATCTCTAATGCTGACACAAAAAAGCCTTACCAAACACTTGATGGGTAAACCCATCAATGCCTTCAAAAGGTTAGGACTCTGTTCAGACTAATGCAGTGAGCACTTTCTATGCAAGAGACAGGTCTTGAGGCAAGACCTCAACAATCCACCCAAGACACTCAGCTAAACTGTGACTGTAGTCAGGAAAAGGAGGAAGGGGAGAGGAGGAACACTGGGAATCCTACCTTTTCCATCATCATTCCCTTCTTTGCTTCTTCTCAGATGTTCCCCAAAGCTTCCATTGACACCAGCAAGATGTAGCCATCCCTTTGGTTGTGTGGGAGCCCTGAGGAAGACATTGCACTGTACTTGCTTCACATATGTGCAACCTGACTCAGATGCCATAAAGGCTGTCAGGAGCATTCTGCTTCAAGGGGGGATGGAATGGTAGCACGTGGGATTGACCAGTATAGCATTTAGAATACATGATATCACATCATGATAGGAGGTTTTGAGCAAAACAAGTCATTTCAGATGTGCTAGATCAACCGGAGTTCTCAGTAAATGGATTTTGAAAGAAATAAGAGCTCAACAACTTACCTTTGACAAATCCTTTGAGTGTTTAACATGCACAAAGTTAATCCTATGTAAATACTGTAATTTGCCACAAACTGACATGCCACATATTAGTAGACTGGAAGATGCAGAAAATCTTCAAAGTGAATTCAGCAACAAGCAAAGCACATAATAAAGGAATTTCTGTGCTAGGTGGGCCTTATTCAGACTGGTTTCTGACTAGAGAAACAGGTATGACTGAGGCACAATCCTCTGTAGGGAAAGCAAGGAGATATTTACTGCCTGCAGCTGTAACAGCTTATGTCTCATATAGCCAGTCACAATCCTTTCTGCTTCAGTTAGCTGCATTTACCTCCCACTTCAATGATGAGAAATGAAAAATACCCAAGGTTAGTTTGGGAATCTGCTTTCACAGTTTTCTTTGCAATGTGGACAAAACCCTTCTGCTCCGGCAGAAAACTGAAATCCCAAAATGCTGCAGCACTGGCAGTACATTTGGGCAGCCTGGCTGCTAACCTGCATCATTATGAACTAAGTAATCAAAATAACTGCAATGTTCAAACGCTTTTACACCACCACCACAGACAGGTACATATTCACATTGCTCCCTTTTCATGAAACTGGCCACAGTGAAAGTCAGCGTTTTGCTTTAACATTCAATAAGGAGAGAAGGCAGCAACCAAAAAACAACCACAACCCAAATGCTTCCCACTGGCCCTTCCAGAACCTTTGCTTTGCAGATCTTTCTGGTTGATACTCACAGGTTGTAAGAAATTAGTGGGTTTGACTGAAGGTGTTGTACATAGCTCTAAGTAAAGGGAGAGCTTCAGAGCTCTGCAGACATCAGCTTGATACTAGAAGCAGGAGTAGAGACAGAGTGAAGTGGAAGACCTGACAAGTTATTACATGAAGCAAATAGCTGAACCAGTCATCTGAAACAGGTAACAAAATAGGTTATGTGGCCCAGCATGGATTTTAGGCTGAATAGAGTCCACAACCTTTTCATGGCAAACCATGCATTTGACTATCAAGGTGGACAGCGTCAGCGTGCTAAGTGTTCAAGTTTACTGTAGCAACCAAACCCACAGATACTGTCTTTTGTTTTGTTGAAACCTCTTTTAAAATAATAAATAAATAAATAAATGCCTTACTCAAAACTCAAAGGGCTTGGGGAAAAAAAAAAAAGAAAAATTAAAAGAAAAAAAAAAAAAGGAAAACCAAGATGGTCTCACCTTGCAGATCCAGACCACCCAGGAAGTCTGGAATCAGGTATGTTTAAAACTCTTCAGATTTGTCTTAACATCTTCCAAATGCTGCGACTTTGAAGAAAAAGCAGCACTGACTTTTTAAACTGATTTTCCTGTAACGCATAACACTGTAAATAAACAAATTTTACTATCAGGCTGTCTCCACTCCTATTTAAGGCATTGCTGGGAACTGGTTATTTGAGGCTACTTTTGTTCTCGAGCTTTTTCAGAAAACTCTTAGGACATTCATCTTGAACCGAGAAACAACCTCCATAACGTTACACACTTTCGTTGCATTGATACAACGCTCCCCTGTGGTTTTTGTGTAACCATTGGCTGTGCTTTGTCCTCCCCGTTGACTGGGCAGAGGGTGTTTCTGCATATCATGCTCTAATTAGGTTGATAAGAAATAGTTTTCCACAGCATGCCGAGACAGCATGTTTACACTTCCTTATGTGAGATACCTTTCTACGGTGGAAGGAATATTCCCATCCCTCCTAGACAGTCCTGCATCTTGACAGTGATCCTATGGGGCAAAACAGGCTCCTGCCTTTGCTCCTCTGGGTTATAGTTCAGGTGTATGAAGCAGATGTTGTGAATACCCCATTGAGCTTTCTTTTTCCATGCAGAGAGAAAAACCCCTTCCAGCCCAAACTTCAATCCAAACAGACTTGATAAAATTATATGGGCTCTGGTACCTCCCTGCTTCCGATCTCTGGCCTTGCAGACTGTGGCTGGCAAGATCCTTTTGATGCACTTGTTATAAACAGCTAAAAAGAGCGGTCTTGCCTTTGATGGAGGAAGATTTCCAGTTACTACATGTGAGAATGACCATTGCATCCCGCTCATTAGTTCAAGTGAGTTTGACTCCTGGCTTTTACTTATGTTTAATGAACAGTGTAGTGCCCACACACAATACCACAAACATCTCTAGATTTTGCTGTGCACGACAGTATGAGGGCACAGCGAAGCGCAACTGGATCATCACAGGTGGGACATGGTGAAGATGGAACTTACAGAACATCATCTCTCTGCCCAAACTTACCTACTTGGGGTAAGAAAGCTTGGCTTACCTGTTTCTTTGCTGGGATATGGAATCCTGTCAGTCAACCCAGACTTCTTTACTGGCTACGTGGCTTCTCGTACCTGATGTTTCTACCATATAAAGGCTTTAAAATATCTCACTTGGAAGCTTTACTTGACAAAAATATGCAAACAAATCAGCAGTCAACAGCCTAGAAAGAAGCATGTGGATTTCCAGCAACTCCTGTATAGACTGCAGCTATGAGAGGCTTTTAATTGACACACATTTCCTCAAAAAAGGCAAAACCTAGGCTTGAATAACTATTTCAAACAGACAAAAAAGGAAGTCTGGTCTTGTCAAATTCAGCAGATGAACCTCTGCTAGGACAGAGAAAGGAACCACTGAGATTATATGTGAAAATTCCAAAATTTTATCCTTGTAAAATAATCAAAAATATTTTGAGCTTCAGAAAATGTTTAACTACTTCTGAAAGACCTAAAGCACGTTCAGTAAAGCCATATGAATGGGATAAAGGATTAGGATCTCAACACCATAAAACTACGGCAGCTGTTCCCTTTCACTTTCCCTGCAACATACTAAGTTGCATTTACAGGTCTTGCTCAAGAACATGGAAAACAGACAGTGTCCTGCTCTGGCCAAGGCCACCAGAACCTACAACTCCTTGTTTCTGGGACAATATTTTGGGGTTTACATTATTGGAGCCTGAAGAAAATTAAGTGCTCCATAGAAACCGAATGGTTTAACAATAGGCTGTACCTGAATAAAGGGTGTAGACATGCAAACACTGAAACCTGCTGTTATAGACTCACCATATATGTGGGAGGATAGGGAAGTAAAGTGGAAGAGAAAAAGCTATTGAGTTTGATTCACTCACTTTTGGTTTTGGATGTTAGCAGCTTCCCAAGGAATGAAGAGGCTGCTGAGGTGTGCCATGCTCAGCTTCACAGGCCTTCTCTCTCAAGTCTGGCTATAGGTAATGCTTTCTCAATTCTTCCTCATGATAAACAAAAAACACCCAAAAGATATGACCAGAAAAGGCTCTCGTGCTGCGCTTGGTTCCAACACAAAACAGCTTTCAGGTGCTCCTGGAAACTCCTCTATTTTCCCGTGCACCACTCATTTAGACAGTCCTACCACTTGCAGAGCAGAACCTGCCCCAGCACACTCCTGCCTTCTGAGAGCAGGACAAGCTAACCCTAGGCCAGGGCTAATGCAAACACACAGTTCCTCTGGTCTATCTGACCATTTCCAGCCACAGAAGACATCAATTTAGCTGGCTTCGTGCAGCCTTCACACATCTTTGCCACTAGGTATCATTAGCCCTCTAGACCTTAAATGGATGCTTGCACTGATGCAAAACACAAAGGTAAACAAGCACTTGGCACAGTGTCGTCCCCTGAAAGAGATAAGACAAAGATAGCAGGGATTATAACAAGGTTTAATATTAAACTGATCAAGAGCTTAAAATGCACGAGCAGTTGTCCTAAACCTGCATTTTGTATTTCCAACTTCTTTTTGTGGGAAGTGAGTGGGTTTTGCACTTCAACATCCACATAATCTTTGTTGTTCTGGCTCAGAAGAAGAGAGCAAAAATTGGGCTATATCTATTTGCACGGAAAGGAAAAAAATTAAAAAAAAAAAAAAAAGCTGGATAAATAGCATTTAAAAGAGCATAAGTGAGCAACCAAAGGAAAAATGCCAAGGTCAACTACCTACCTTCTAAAAGGAAACATTAGGGTAACCTGTCTGTATGAACAAGATATGATCTGCACAAGTCAAATGGACTTAGAACCTTCAGGGGGCTTCAACAAAAACATGCTGAACTGAGTAAACAGCACAAGAAGTGGTATGGGGTTGGTTATCCAAAAATCAAAGTTATTCCTGCCCCAGATGCTTTCTCCAAACACAACTGCTACTGACTACAAACAGAAAGACCATTAGGAAAGGCCACAACTTCCAGCATATCCCCCCAGGTTGGGCATTTCACAGGTTACCAAGCTCTCACTGAGCTTCTCAAAAGGTGAAATGTTTTATATGATGGAATAGAAAGAGTGCAGGAGTAGGAGACATCTAAGCTGCATGGCATCTTTTCTGCTCTCCCATACCACTAAAAGCAGACTTTTAGGGTTCATGTTTTTCCAATAAAACAGTTAAAAACAAGTGTAGGCCCATACAATATTATAATAATTTTTAATAAGTAAGAGATCCTGATTTCTCCTTTATCCACACCCTCTGAAGTGTTTAACACTCACCTTCCAAGCTTTGTAGCAACAGGTTACATGGGCACTCAATGACAGACACAGCGAGCATCAATCTTGGTACTGTAAATTACGTAGCTGGGATGAAAAATGTTCATAAATATTTATAGTCACAGAAGACACCAACAGCATTCTGCCAGAGCACATGAAGGGTGGGGAAACAGCAAAACAAAACTTGCTACACCTCTACTCTGTTGTGCTGATAAAACTTGAATGCTTATCATCTCTTAGAGAGGAATGAATCCATCAAACAACATCTTAGAAATGAAAGATCAACCATTATTGTATTTAAAAAAAAAGATAAAAAAATTTTAAGTTGTTAAACCAGAGACAGACTTCACATCTCCTATCTCAACTCTTTCCTTTGGGCAATAAGCTCCTTGGAAATACTGGTGAGCAAGTCTAAACTGGCCAATGCAACCTCCACCTCAAAGTAGATGACACATGCCTGAAGGATGCAGGTTATCAACACTGTTTCTTCATGTTCCACCAGGTCATGGGTAATAAATCCATGGGATGCAGGCATTTACCCAGCAAGTACTAGAAGTACCATTTTTGTACTTAGGATAGGGAGAAACATTGCACAAAGCACCTCTTTACATCCACTAATGTGAACTCTAAGTTACCATAACAAGCAACAGGGAAGTTCATCCTAGTCCCAGGATCTCACTACTAAGATAGTAAAACCCCAAATGCTTTTCTGTTTTGGATCTGGTACAGCCAAGGCAATAGGAAGGATGTTCACATCACTCCGGCTGATATCTTAAAGCCTATTTTGGTTAACGACACTGCTACTGCAACCCCAGCCTACCACCACACCGGTGGGACACAAAGCATGCTGAAAAGTCTGTTACTGGGCTGCAAAACCAAACAGCTTTAGCTGGTGCAAGCAGAGCTGTTCAGAGGCTGCAGCTTCGTCTCCCAGATGACAGTTGTTTTGGTTGACTGCTTTGAGAGACTGGATTCAAACAGCAGCTAGAAAGACACTGAAGAGCAGCAGAAAGATACATCATAGACAAGACACCAGGACTAGCCTTCAAAGTAAGAAGTGCAAGCTAGTGCATGTGAAACCACAGATTCAGCCTTTTGCATTATGGATAGGAGAGGAGAAGATCAGAGGATCTGGAGCTTAGGGAAGGGCAGGGTTAGAGGCCTTTCTTTTATATCAGCTAGAAAAAAAGCAGCAATCACCCGTTGATGTGGACGAAGGAGTCTCGCATTGTGGCAGCTCTAATCAGAGCTACTTAAGCTAAAGGAATAAATATTAACTCCAGAAAATGACAATGTGATGGCAACAGCAGCTTTTTGCCGTTTTCTGTTGTGGCACTACCCTGCATGATCTTCTCTAGAAGGACCAGTTTCAGCCTCCTGGAAGATCATGAAAGTCATTAAACAAACCCTGGCAGAGTGTGTGCTTGTTATGAAGGTATGTTGTGGGCAGGGGATTGTTTCCTCAACTCCAATCCACACAGCAATTTGAGGTCGGTTTTATAAGATAAGCGGACAGAAATACAAATCTTAGAAACATGGCATGTTCACGCAAATTCAGTAAGATGCACTAGAACCAGCACTGTGTCTGTAATAGCATTAGAAGCAGTTCGTGAACAGCAACTGTAAATTTAGGAACTCTCTCAGAGCAGAGGATGATGTTAAATAATATGGTTTATCTGCTACTCACTTTCAAGAGACTGTGGATGCTATTTTGTCTAATCCTAACATTTCTCGCTGTACTTTGAGCTATCTTAGTTACTGGTTGTAAAAATAATTTCTCCAGCTTCACTTGCTGTTTTCTCCACAGTGCTCCAAGCTTCTTGCCATCCACAATCTCCAGCTTGCCATCAGGCATCTGGCCAATATTCAGTAGATCCCTCCGTGCTTTCACCGTTGTTATCCAGAATTTGGTGGCTCTGATTTCAAGACAATAGTTCCCACACTGCTTAATGCTTACAAGAAACCCTACCCAAACACATGCCATGTACATAGGACTCTGGAGTACCTTTTCAGACATGCACAATGTATCAGTTGGAAAGAAGTGAGGAGATTCTTATCCTACTGAGCAACATTTTACTTGGAATCAATCGTTAAATGCTTTTACATTTGATAAAGGTATTAGCAGAATATTCAAAGCCAGTATATGCAACAGTTTGATGGCTAAATTCAGGGTATTTAGTTCATTTTTTCTTTGATATTTAATGGATCCACCATGAAATTTTGCAGAAAGCTTAATCATGTCAACAGGGTTGGCAAAATTGAACTACTCAGTGTATACTTCTTTTAAGCAAAAAAACCCTCAGTGTTATTTTCCTCCTCCTCCCCCCTTTTTTTCCTTTCTATTTAAGAGCGATAAACATCCTTCAACACAACCATCTTCTCTGCACTGCATAAGGTGCTCAAATTTTAAGAGCAATAATGAATCCACAGGTTTGCTAGTCAGAAGGAGCAGTGAAGATGCCTTTTTCTACTGACTTCTCTGCTGGGAGTTCATACTGCAGGGAAGGAAACAAAACACATTTCAAAGGTTTACACAAACACATTACATAAGAAGCTGCAAATGTCTTAGAAGCACATTTAGATTCAGCTTTTAATTCTCAAGCATCCACCCTGGAACAAGCGCTGCAGGATGAGCAGCTCCCATGATATGACTGTTTTTCCTCAGCCCTGCCCCTCTTTTAGAGAGTCCTTCATCAGGAGCACCTACGGTAAGGGATAGGCCTGTGTCCCAGAGCAACTCAGTGCTTACAACAGAAACTTCTCCCTATGGGAAGACTCAGGATTCCAGCTTTGACAGCTAAAATAAACAAACTCATGGTTTTCAGCATCTTATGCTCATGTACTCATCTATATGAACACACCCCTCATACAGAGCTACTCATGTACTGCACATACCGTTGTATTTTGGCTAGTGGTGGCAGAGTCCCAGACTGTTTGACCCAGGCCCAAGTCAACAGACTGAATTCTGTAAGAAAAGTGAGCATAGCTTGTTTGTGAAGAGTTAGTACCTACTGATGAAGCTTGCACAGAGATTTACCAATAAAAATTAACCTGAGGATTCCCACTTTTGCAGCTTTTTTCCCCAGCATCTGCACCAACAGTACCTTTTACTTCATCTTTAATGATGGCTTCTTTCTGACTCATAGATACAGATGTGACTAGAGGGTTCAACTTGTTCCAGACCCAGGTACAGGCCTCCTGGGGTATGTGCCAATCCTGCACGACTTCCCATGCAAAGAGTCTCTCATTGATTGCACCCTAGTCCCAGTTCAAAACCCTCACAAGGCTGCAAAAACTACAACTGGAGATGCCATACTGGGTTTAGAATATTTCATGATACACCAGCAAGTGTACCACAAGCCTAACCAGTGCCCTTTTTGACCATCAGAGGACTCACAAGCGTGCAGGACAGCTGGCAGAGACGTACCTTTGCTTTTGCTGGTTGCAGAAAGAATTCAGTTTGAGCAACTGCGCATTCCAGAAGTCCTAAGAAGAGCCCCAGAGAAAACCCCCATTACGTGGGAAGAGGTACCTCCACAGGCTAGTACAAGAGAAGCCATACACACCATTGCATCCTTCTCCATGCTTGCTAAGACTTGGGTTTCCTCCTCAAGACTGGCAAGGTCTTCGACAAGAGCCTTCTGGAAGGTCTTCAGCTTAGTCAGCCTAGTGATGAACAACAGAAATAAGCTTGACATTTTCATGTGCAGAAGCACAAGGCCATTGCCAACCCCTTCAGCATCAAACCTGCCTTTAGGCAGAAGCAAACATCCTCACTGAACTATGTGGAGCAGTTTTGTTCTCAGTTATGTCAGAGAGCAAGTGGATAGCTGAACCAGATTAAACCAAACATAAGTTTAGCTAAACAGCCTGTCCCAAATAGCAGGCAGTAACAGAGGCTCAGGACAGAGTGTACAGCAGGATTCACAGCGCAGTACTTGTCCTGCACGCTCTTTCTCAGCCTTCAGGAATTTCAGCAGATTCCCCTAGCCAAAGACACCACCTTGGCACAAGTAACCTCTGACGGGTTTTCCTACCATGGGTTTAAAATACACACACTGTGTTACCACAGGATACCAGTGATTCCTAAACCTTAACCAGCAACAGCCTTATCTGCTTGGATTTGCCACCTTTCCCATGACAGTACGATACCAAGACATCATCTGGTGGTGACTTTAGAAACTACAGTTCTAGAGTAGGACAGATTTGGCACAGCTCTGTCCCTGCTCTCCTATGGCTCCAGTTGGGTCTAGGTTACTTAGTTAATAACATAAAAGAATGGCAGCAGCTCACAGCCATCAGATCTTACCCATCAACTATTCCAACCCTAAATGTACCCAATTTGGTTTCTGGAACACAAGCTTCCCCATATACCTTAAAAACAAGCAAATTCTACTCATCGAGATCCTATCAATATCAGGGATTTTGCACTTTAAAAGCTACTATTTCATACTACATTTGATCTAAATTCTGCAAACTGAATGCATAGTAGACACAGACACCTGACAGACTTTATCATACCTTAGGCTGTGCTTGTATTTCTTTTATAAGAACTCCATAAATATTATAATTGTTTGGGATTTTTAATCTAGCTCCTATAAGAGAAATCTGACAACCTGCAAAGAAAAAGGACCTTCTTTAAACCCCCACCTAGTGAGTTCCTGTAAAACCCACTAATGGCACTTGTTTTGTACTCAGGAAACAAATTGAGAGAAATGGGTTTATAACAGACCCCTTAACTTTTCTCCTCCCTCACTTCAGTCTGGCTTCTTTATTTAAAGATGTAGAAACAGAAACTACTAGGCATAACAACAGCGTTTCTAAACATATTTGTGAACACTGCTGACAATCAGAAGACAGTCCAAGGACTTCATTAGCTCCCAACTGAAGCTTGCTTTGTATTAATTCATCCATCCACTCTCCCCTTACAGGAAAATCAGGATAAATCACACTTCTGAAACTCTGACCAAAAAGCAAGAGACACGCACACAAGGTATTTTTGCCTACAGTGCAGTAGCTTACTGTTAGGTTCACTTACAAAGGAGCATTACTGTCCGTATCAAAATTTACACAAACTGAAGCTATTTTCAGCCAGCAGTAGACAGCTCACCTGCATTCATGTATTTGGTTCAGCAGCAGGGACATCTTCTTCTCTGAAGTCCTCAGGGCATTTTGTGCACTGGTCTCCATCCGTTTGTATCGAGCCTAGCCGTAGGATGCAATGTTACGGATGAGCAATGGCCCAAGCAAAAACCTAGAAGTCTAATTTGCAAAACTTTTCCCTGGAACACAAATCCCTCCATGGGTTGCTTCATGGAAACCACCTTAAGTCAAATTTAAACTGAATTGAGGTGACACATAGGCAGGGTACTACAAATATAAACTGGTTTCATTCAGTCACACTAATTAGACCAACAAACCTCTGTCCAACCCATGCAGCTTCAGGTGTGTTCAAAGCTTTTAAACACAAGGAGACTTCATGATGAATCAGATACTGTCCCCTCATATTAAACTTGCTTTAATGTACACATTACTTGCTACAACTAAATCAACAGTAGCAGTAACTTCTACTGCATCTCAAGTATGTCTATACAGTAGAGTGAACCAAGAATAAAGCTTATATACTACCAATTGTGCAACCAACACCTCTAAGTATCATTAATCCCAAATATGCAAGAGTGTCCCTATGGATCCACACATGTTCTAGCCAATACGCACAGCCTGTATTGCTTTGTTTTTCATTATGAAAAATTCGCAGTTTTCATCACAGTGAAACTGCTTTGTGCTCCAAAAGGGAGTTTCTATACTTTTGATATGTGTCTATGAGGACAACAATTCACAGCTCCAATATAGGTACACTGCCACTGTCTTGGGTTACCTTTTAAAAAGCTTTGCTTCTTTCCTCTGAAGAAGATACTTGAAATGCCTAACCAAATTTGATGTTCTAACATCCAAATAAGACAAAAAAAGGAAAAAACTAATTAAAACTTCCTTCACGCCTTTTCTGTAATACTTGCCAGAAGTATTCTGTAAAACCTGTATAACTCCAAGATCTCCAGGTTAACAGACACTACAGCCAAAACCCTGCTCCCAGACACAAAATACAGATAGGATATTTGCATCAACTCCCTTGGTGATATAAAGGCAATTTCACATACTATGGGAAAATTCCACACAGGGACCATGTTAAGAGACTGCACATTACCAAGAACAATTTCTTTAGTTGGCCGATAAAGCTTTCAAATGCAGTAATCACCCCTGAATCACTGAAGTCTTCATGCATCGTCTCAGAAGGAAATACATCATCCACATTATCGTCCATTTCCTGACCTAGAAGAAAGCGCATGCAGTTAGCACCCTATGGAAGGGCTTATTAGAACATAAACTCTCCTGCTACAGATGGGTTTATCATTCATGTGTATGACAACATTTGTTACAGAGCTGGAATTTGAGTCTTGCTCTCACAAGCAAGAAGGAAACTAGTCCAAAACCCATTGACCATGACTTGTTAGAAAGCAGCCTGTAAGAAGTGGCATGATGCTAATCAAAGAACAACAGATGTAGAAAACACAAGGCAAAAGCACAGCACAAGGGAAAGAAAAAACAAAACAAAATTAGGCCACTGTTTTTGTGCCTTCTGTTTATTTGTTGCTTTCTGTTCAGAGTTTGTAATGTTTTGCAGTTACTTTGTTCACTATGTGCATGCTTTTTTCAGTTTTGGATTTGTTTTTTTAGGATGGGGTTTTTTTGTGGGTTTTCTTATTTTGGTTGTTTGTTTGTTTGTTTGTTTTGTTTTTTAATAACTGTGGGCAATCATTATTCAGAAAGACTAGAAAAGTGCAGACATTGTAAAGCAGCTTCCCAAGTTGATTGCCCTTAGGGAACCCAAATTACCATTCACACCTCTGTATATGTGGTGTCCAATTTCAGTGCCACAATACACACCTGCTGAGAATATAGCCTCCCCTGCAGATACCTCTCTTCAAGCTTTCACATGACTATGGTTTCTACCATCAATAAAGAAAAGCTGAGAGCATTTAAACTCTTCACCTTAATTGCCAACCTGACTTTACCTGTCTGGATCTCCACTTCTTTCTCTACTGAATCAACAAGTTTCTTTGACTGATAGGAATTGTCAGTGGACAAAAGACTTCCTTCCCAACTGGAATATTTAAGCTTTTTTGTAGCTGTGTCACTTAATATATCTAGAAAGAGAACAGAAGATGATTCAGAAAATACCTGTTCTTTTGCATGAGGTTGTGGCTGTACTTACCAGCTATTCAAGGAGAAACCACAGCTGTAATTACCAATGCTGCAGAAAAGTGGGCAACTTCATTTCAGGGTCTGGCAACACTCTTACAGGACTGGTTAAGACTTAATCACCGAGCCTCTTCCCTCACAAAAACAGGCAAATAGACTGACTAGTGCTATGCAGGTAACTGGAATGCTACCATGCATCCATCCTAAAGACAATTTTGTTTCTTGACCCACTACTCTCATCATAAACCTTGTCCGCCTTCTTCCCATTCTCTTTTCCAATCCAAGCTCATGATCTGTTCATGCTTCTTTGTTCCTAAGCTAATTTCTGCTACCAAAAAAAAAAAAGCCACCAAAAAACCTACAAATAAAAAAAAAACAACAACAACAAAACAACCCACCACAAATACAGGAGAGAAAAGCTAACCACACTTATAACAACTGCCTTCTCTGCAGCTTTGCTAAAGTTGCTGTGCAATTGCTTCTGACCCAGAAAAACCCTTAAAAACACGGCTGCAGTGCATATTTCATGGAAAACTTGCAAAAAAAAAAAAAAAAGAGAAGAAAAATCACCCTTTTGTCTCACTCCTCACTTCACTGAGCTCAGTGAAGTGTCTGTGCTTAACAAACCACCTCTCTGGGGCCTCCACAGGGAAGAAAGCAGAAAGATGGTGGAATCCAGGACAAGGGGGACAATCCAAGCATGAGGAGCACGTTGCAATAGCTTTAGGGTTCACAGAGCAAGAGTTCAAATGCAGTCACAGACTACATCCAGAATTTCTGAATATAACCCTACTTATGCTTTTATGTGGTCTCAATTCCCCTCCAACTGTAAGACTGTACAGTAAAAACTGATAAGTATTAAGTCCTCATAGCTTATCTTCCCCCAAAATTAAGTAGATATGTTGACACATTGAAGGTATATTCTGCAAATATTGGACAGGTAAGAGACATACTGGGAACATAAACATAGCCAGTTCACAAGATATGGGATTCTTTTATCCAAGACCAAAGACTCAGTGACTTGGCTCATAACCACAACTAAACCTCTCAGAATTGCATCATCATGAGCAATATTAGAATAAAGACAGCCTATTGTTGCTTGACTGTTGAAATTCAGCTGTTTCCAGACACAGACTGTGCTGCTGTTTTGAATTAGTTTGTGCAAGTTCAGTTTCGTTTTTAAAAAGTCCCTAAGTGCCACATATCTAAAAAAAAAAAAAATTTACAACAGTAATAAGCATCAGTACAAGTTATTATTTACCAAATACTTCATAGCAGTCTACATCTATATTCTTAGGTATGTAAAAATAAGGTCCTCAGCTTTCAGGGATGCTTGTTTCTTAAACTCAAATTGCAGGGCACTTTCAGATCCTTAAAAATTAGGTTTTGTGTGTCTCTTGGGTCTCTTTGTAAATCCCCAGTTCTTAACAGCTATACTATGAGTTTCCCTGTACAGTATAATATCTATACTACGAGTTTCCCTGCTCAAGGACAGGATTTAAGAGTTAGTAATAAATCCAGGAATGCATGTAAAACATCTTACCACAGTCTGTCCTGATATATAGAACAGAGAAGTAGAAGGTATTTCTTCTGCAAAAAGCATCTCCAAAAACTCAGTTGTTATTTGTCTTTTCAAGATAATGACAACTTCAGCAACATCCATTTCTACTTCTAATGAACTTTTCCATGTTATTGAGACTAACCAACCTGAGTCCTTCCGCTTAAAACTTTCTTCTTCTCTTGACAATTCGCTGGATGCATTGTGAAACTTCTAAGGACAGAAGGAAAACAAAATAAACATGTATCCACCCTGCATTGCAGACAAGCTCTCAGGAACTTGTCTACTTATAAGGGGAAAAGTGACATGATGCACGGGTTTTACAGAAGTAGCCCGACAGCAGATTAGAAGGAGCTTAAGTGCTGCATACTGCACCTGTGGGGCATTCTCCTCATCACTGGAGTAGCTCTTGGCAGATGCATCAAGTAATAGCTGTCCCACTTTGAGCTCCTCTGAGAGGCTTTCATCTGCACAAGAGACCAGCCAAGCAACACAGTCAATAGAGGTTGAAACCTCAATCTAATGACATACGTATATTTAATTAAAAAAAAAAAAAGAAAAAAGAAACCACCAGCCTCTCCTTTACCCCTTCACACAGGGAAGAGACAGCGAATCAAACTCAGTCCCCAAAGCTGTTTTATTTCTGGCTGTCAATGAAGTTCATTCCTTCACCTTTCGTTAGTCCCATGTAGTTCATTAGCCAATGTTCTCCCTGCCTAAGAAACTATCTAGAAACAATATCCAGCCCTCATAACCATTACAAGAAATATCACAAGGCAGAGTGCTTATGAAGAAAATATGAGAACAACAAAATTAAGACTTAAATTTCAAAAAACGCCCACAAAGCACATGCCCACACATATCAAAATCACTTTTATAATGAATTGAAGATTAAAAAAGAAATACCATCATGATCCACTGTAGGTACATCTCCCTTGGAGCTGAGTGCACTTTTTTTCCTTAGCGTCTCCCTTTGAGCTCTTCTCCCTGATGCCCCCTGCTAAACCAAAAGCAAGCCTAAGTATGTATTTTATTTAAACATTACTACAGAAGTAGGGGGGTGGGCTGGGCTTTGTTTTGGGGGAAACAGTTTTGTTTAGTTTGTTTTTTAAATACACTAAGAACAGAGATTAAAGTTTACGTATGCCTTACATACTGATAGCTGTCTCTCCAACAGTTAAGGAGATCTCTGACCTGAAGAGTTCAATGCGTGTGTAAGTTCTCCCTCTAGCTATTAGAGTTACATAGTGGAATAAAAGCATTTTAGTCAAAGGAGAAAAGGTTTCCAGGGGAGAATAAAAGCTTCTAGTACAGCTACCAGTTCTGGAGGGCTTTTTCCAAATCTTTCTGTTTATGTGGAAACCTTTCCAAAACATTTGATATACCGCACTTAGTGGCTGGGCACTGGAAAAGTATGGCATTGTTAAATTGTATTTTAATTTGCTTGATGTATGCCTGGTCCACTAACTCCTCCATCAGTATAATCCCTGGTTAGTTTTCCCAGAGCTATATCTGGAAGTGAAGAAGGACAATGCAGGAACTGGGGCTCAGGATGAGCATGAGAGTTGGAATAAAAGCCCTAAAAATTCCCAGCAAAGTAAAGAGTTGTATGTGAGCTTTCCCAAGGGCCACAGAGGATGGGGTAGAGGACAGCATGGGGACAAAACCTTGTTAAGTGCAGCAAAGATTTCTGCAGGTGTTTGGATAGGCAGATATAGCTCTTGGTGGAGCCCTAGAGCCAAATTCACTCCTGTAAAGTGATACCTGTGTCACCCAAGGCAAGTATCACCCAAAGCAATTCCTTCCCAATTTTCATCTGCCAAAAGTAAATACTGTCATTTCAGAACAGGCTTCGGGCTCACCCACAGCTCTTCCTATGAAGTTTCCCATGTTTTCTTAAGACCTTTTTTCCCCACTGTTTAATAGACCAACACAGTCTCAGCAATACTTCATAGAATAATTTATCCATCAGAACGTTTGAGAAAATAGATAACACCAGTTTATTAATTCCCACTTATTTGTACATGTCTTACACATGTCATGTTTTTAAATCTGAGGCACATAGGCATGACACCTCCTTACCTTCTCTGTCGGGTGGTCACTGCCACTACTTGCAGAAGACACTGGAAGCACTGCAAGAAGAAAAGTTTGCCTGGTTACTGATGATGTAATTTTGTACCTTACCCAGTTAAGTTTTCCATTATGGCTAACTCAGTTTCGAGTTTGGTTTTCTAGGCATTTACAAGAGAAAATTGCACAACATTTACATTAACTTTCAAATAAACCCCTTTCTAACAAAGTCAGATGCAATTATGCAAACATACACAAATCACCGCATCCAGAGCAGTTGCCAAAAGAGGCACAGGCTCAGCTGTTCATCTGATGGTGCCCATGTCCCATCCAGGGAACATGGACTGGCACTGGGGAGAGAATAACTCCCACAGAAACAGACAGAAACACATAAAACATAATTCCTCCCTCAAGTCTCTTTTGCTTATTCATCCCTACAGAAATCAGCTACCTGAGCAAGGCTCATCCTCCATGAGAAGGACAAAGGCATTCCAACTTCCAGGACAATTTAGTTTGAACTTGGAGGCTGCAACACCTACGCAGCCAGGGAACATGGCCACAGGGGAGGTTCGCTGTTGTTTAGAACAGCAGCAGAGAATGCTAGAGCAGAGAATGCTAGAGATGGTCACATGTAATTTTGGAAGTCACCTGGAGGACAACTGGTCTATCAGTGTATAAAAGGGGGAACAGAGTGCCATGGCCTGCAAACTGTTTTTTCAAGGTTTATTCCCCAGGTCAATTGTATTTCTGGAGAGACAAGAAGTGGAGGAGGTATAGCAGCTCCAGAGAGATCTTCCTCGTCTCCAAGAGCACCAACACAGCCATCAGCTCAGCACCCATGGCTTCAGCCCCATTACTTAGATGGATGCACCCACACGACATTTAGGTGCCCGGTTTTCACCTGTACTTCTGAACCCTACTCCAGGTAGTGAGCTCTTCAGGAACCTGGTTCTCCAAGCACAAGGGTGCGCAATGCACCTCCTCCAAAGGGCATGCCTCACTGCCAGCCTCAAGCGTGCTCTCTCCCCCTCTTGGACCAGGACTTAGCTGAATCCTCCTTTCTCAAACCATCATCAGCCATTTGTTTATCTGCAGTACAGCACATCATGCATAGTTAGATATCAACAGCAGACCAAGCTTACCTCTTAATTTACTTCTCACCCGGGGTCTTTTTCGGGTATAGTCATGAAGTTTTGGCAGCGACTGCTTCTGAAAGTCAAGAATCCAGCTTTTTTCACTCTGACCAGTGCTTGTATTTTCACTGTTGCTTTCAGAGAAAAGATGTTTCCTGTAACTGGACTAAAGACACTATTAGAAGTAAGCCCTGCATAGTCAATTCCCTCCATCCACCCAGAAGCATCTTCTGTCTTCATCTCCTGCTCTCTCTTGTATCTAAATAAGAGAGCTCTTGCAAGGAGGAAAGCCTTAGCATGCCTGAGCTGCGTCCAAGAGCACAGAAGGAAAAAATGAACATTCGCTCTTCTGTCTGGCAGTCCTGGTGCACCCAGAGCACTGCTTTCAGTAGCAACAAGTGGACTATTTTGAGGCTACCAGGCTCACATTACTCCTCCTCTGCACTGGGTAAGCCTTAAACTTCAGCCTCTTTAAGGGCACTAACAATCCATACAAGTGGATACACACAGCAGCCAAAGGCTCTAGGGATGAAAAAACACAGGCAACCTACCTGACTTCTCTCAAGCTTGTTTGATTCCTCATTCTTATTTCCTATTTCATAACTCCTGCCAAATAACCCATAAAGACATGAGTTAGAGTAGCACAACTGCACTAGCATGTCACAGAAGTGCAGAAGAGACACAGATGAATAGTAATGGCAGGGGTCTCCATAACAGATAAGCAGGAGAACCAAACTGTTAATATGCAGTCATTAGCAAACGTTTCTTTTTTGGTTGGTTTCTCAAGGTAACAATTGAGGGATACCTATAAATTAGCATCTTTTAAAAGAAAAAATAGGCTATATACTTATAGATGGCAAGTCCCTGGCAGCTTGCTATAACACAGATACTGTGGCAGCTAAGCAAGGAACTATTTTATTAGAAACATCACACAGCTTTTTGCTCTTAACTTAAAGCAGCTTAGTTAATGCAATGAACTCCTCATTCACAAAGCAAAATGTTCATAAATGGTGTATATATAACCCTGTACCTCTGACTTTGTGAGGAAAATTTCTGGCCCAGAATCTTTTCTTTAGCTTCAGCAACCTAAAAGAAAAGCAGGTATTTGTCTTAAAGTACAATTACCCCATAAAATAATCTACAAAATTAACATATACCAGAAATGGAGCAATAACTCCACTATAGCATGCCCTAAGCGCAGCGCACAGTATGGGACCGGCTCTGAATCCGGGGGGCAAGACAGGGTACCGTGAAACAGGGTTTTATGCTGACACCCAGTGGCAGTAGCAAGGTTTCGACAGTGTCCAGTTTACAACAGAAATAAGGGATGTCCCATTCAACACCCATTGCCTCTGCATTAGCAGGCATCAGTGACAGTCCCTGCACCAGGGAAAAGGCTGAAAGCCAAGGGGTTTGTCTAGTGGAACCACCTTGATGGAAGCCATCAGAAGCAAGTTTTATGCTTCCTCAGAAAGCCCTCATTGGTCAAAACTTCAAAGCAGGCAGAGAGACTAACTTTCAATTGATTTTTTTTCTAAGTCTGCAAATACAAGTGAAGCAGAATTTCCCACAGTAGTTTTGTGAGGACTGCCTTTAACCAGGGGCTCCCAACATGCAAAGTATGGCTTGAAACAGGTTTCAGTCTCTTCTGGTTTAGCTGAAGAGTACAAAGCAAAGGATGCTCAGCAATCACATTCAGTAAAAAGCAAGCAGAGTTTGGCCTTCAACTGCAAAGATATCCCATAGCCTTAGTCAAGCAACAGCTCAAATTTCTGTTCCAGTTGGTGTTACCATACATTACCCACCACAAAATGCAAGCAGTGGTGAGCATTCTCCCCAGCAGCCCATCCCCACCCAAAAAAAAAAAAAAAACAACAACAAAAAAAAAAAAAACCAAAAAAAAAAACAACCCCACACCTTTCTTCCATGTTTATCACCAACCAGAAAGCCCAAGAACCTCAGATTCCCACTTGTCTGGTTTGCTGTAACAGCACATCCGTCCTTCCAGCATTTTTGCAGTAACAGACATCCCCTGCTTCAAGTTACTACTCTGTTAGCTGCTGAGCTGGGGCCTTTATGTAACTCAACAGCCTCTGTCTCAACTTTACCTTTTCATGACTTGCAGAGTCTGAATTTTCAAAGTCATAAATTTCCTTCCTGGAAGGCAACATATATACAACAGTGACATACATACAATCGTGAAGAGTCCATCTATAGAGCTTCACTAAGAATATGGGGGAATAACAGGGTTTGGGTTTGCTCCTCTCCACTATGAACTGTGTTACACAGTAAGCACTCCCATACCTTATATGCCTAAAAATACTAAAACAAAAAAAAAAAAAAAACAAAAAAAAAAAAAACAAAAAAAAAAAACAGAAACAAAACAAACAAAGAAAAAAACAAAACCAAAAACAACAAACCAGAAACCAGCTTATTCCTTTCCTACTTAGTCTCTATTATTGCCAGTCTTGATTCTCACTCTTTTGATTGTAATTTAAGAGAATTATTCAGAAAACACAAGTTAACCTACTCCCATTATACCATGGATGTTTTGTTCCCACATCACCAATAACAATATGTGGTAGGAAGAAACCACGAATGGAGGGAGAATTTCAGAAGCATCTAAGAGGAAAAGAATCCATTTAATCACCTCTTGAAGTCTAACATTTAATGTTTGCTCTCTAATCACTTCTCTGTATGCGTCTAGGTTTCCACTTCCTTCAACATTTAACTGTACTTTAACTCAACTTTTTCTTTCTCCAGACTGTAACTATTTAAAAAATCCTATAATTATTGCTCAAAATAGAGCACACCTTCCCCTTCTTACTAGCGAAAGAGTAGGAAGACTAAAGGACTTGAGCTCCTTGTTAAACAAGTTTCCCAAATAAACGTTAATTTTTCAGATTAAACACTAGAGGGGGCAGAACGACAAAACTAAGAAGCTCTCTACCTCTAACTATTAATACTGCTGCTCCTGTTTTACAACTGGTATTTGCTGCGGCAAATTGTTTGGTCTTAACCTCTAGTAATGATCAAGTCCTGCAGCAAATTTACCCATTCTTATCCACGATCAATCAAAAAATTAATCTAAACATTTGGTTGGAATTTTTTTAAGCTAAGGGTCAGTAGGCTGAAGCAGGACACCCAAGGAAGCCTCAGAACAGCCAGAACTGCAGCAGAGATCTTCATGTACAATTAATTTGCTCTCCTGCCCAACAGAAGACATAAACTTGCACACTGCACTTGGCAGAGAGCACAGGAGGAGAGTGCAACAAGACAGGCTTTCAGTGCTGCAGACTGCATATTGCACTCAAACCCTTGTGTGCTTCTGCCTGCAATGGCACTAACTTTGAACATCAGCAAACCAATGTTCCCCCCCAAGGAAGGGGACAACCGGATAAAGAGACCATTCCAGAACTGCAGGACACACAGTTCCAAAGAATCTGCACAATATCAGAAAAAACTCATGTATTTGTGAAGGAAGCTGTCACTCATAACTCCACTCACTAGAGGATGAAAGGATTACATTTGGGTGAGAAAAAATGGAAAAGCCAACGTAACATAGTATCACAGACATGAGGCCATTTTTGGCTGACCAGAGTCAGCTTCTGAAGATTTCATCACTTTTGGGACCCAAAGGTTCACACTAAGGTAAGTTATGACTCTTTGTAGCCTGCTGCTTTTTCTGCTGTCTGTTCTATTCAGACAGCCCACCCCACAGGCACACCCTCCCAACATTAGCACTAGAAATGGTCTAAAATCACCTGGTACACTAGCACAGGCACAGGACTCGTGTGTCATACCTGCCTTCAGTCCTCTTCCTGGCCAAACTCTTTTTTCTGTTTCCTTTTTCCCAAGTAGCATCATTCTGAGAAGAGAGTGGCAGGACCTAAAACCACAATACACAAAGTCACATTCTTATCCTGAAGCCTGCTAAAAGCAGAAGTCAGGCATGCCCCAAAACTTCATTCTTCCTATTGCAACTGTCCCCCACAGTTCTTTATCAGCAAGCATAGGACTCCCAGAGCTGAAACTGGGGTGCCAAGAGGGTGAGGATACAGAAAGAAGCAATTCAAAAACTTTGAATTCATTCTACAATGGTCAAGTGTTACAAAACCTTTGAACTGTCAGTTAAAATAATAGGAAAATCTAAATTTAGTATCTGGAAGTGTAAACCCAAGAATAAATTTAAAATGTTATTTCTTACTAAGAAAGCTAAGTACCTACTTAAGCTAAGTACTTATGTCAAATTGAAACTATCATTTTGGGAATTTAATTTCTCTTGTGCATTACTTTTATTTGTACACCTGGAGAAATCAACAGAAATTTCCAAGTACTTAAGTTGTGTAAAGAAATGCAACTACTTGCTAACTTGTCCTGGTTGCAAGCTCCTATGCCAGGAGCACAGAAACAGATACAGCGTAGTCAGACCATTAGAGCTCAGATATAAAACTGAATAAATATGCCTGAAGACTCCAAAACTTGTTTCCTGAAGGAAAGCAAACCTTTGGTCTTACAGACCACACGTAAGTCTTGTGACATACAAGTTTGTACCACACAGGGCAGGGACAGTTTTCTCCTGGGCACAGGCACATATATATTGTACATGTAACATACTCAGTATACACACACCAGTACCAGGTAGTATATACACTGAATAAACTCATCTGCACTTGACTTACTTGGTTGAGCCACACTAGAATGAGGTTGGCAGCTACTGCTTCTGCAGCTCACTCCTAGTACTAAATGGCACGTTACACCAGGTATGACACCACACAGGCTCAGGACACTGCTCAAAAGCAGGAGTGACTCAACCCATTCCAACTTTCTTCTGCAGCTTCACCAGGGTATCTCTGCCTCTTGTCTCTTTGCTCAGGTGGGGCCCAAGGCAAACATACCTTTGGTGTTGACTCCTCCATGGATGCATCTTCTATGGGCTTCTCACTGGGGATAAGAGAACACATGAGGGGAATGCAGTGCAGAGAGGTGGGGGAAAAAAAACAACCCTTACACCAGTTAGCATCAAAGCAGTGGTTTAAAAGGTGAGGAGGGAAGAAAGCTGACTGGTAGCCCTACAAAAGTCCAACTTATAAGAAAGGCTGTGCTGCAAATTTCTGGAAAAAAGGATACTACTAATGCCAAGGTGAACTCCAACTTATACAATGTTTCACAAAGGTCATGGGTCCTGATTATGAATAGCTACATATCTGGTGAGCTCCAGTTACACAGCTGGAGCTAAACTACCTTTACTACAGCTGCATGCTCATCTTGTGTTTGGATTAAACCCATGATGAGAAATAAAGTCACACAAAAGCAGCAGCCAAACATCATCATTCTGCAATTCCAAGGTGTTATAACTCTGGGCAGGTAGCCTTGATAGCCAGGGTGGCAAAACAGATCTATTTTTTTTTCCCCTGCTTTATAAGTAATGGAATAAACCTCAAAATGACATGCATTAAAACCCCAGGGGAGGGACAACAAAACCAAACCAGAAAAAAATCCCACCTTGCTGCTTTTTGTCTGCAAGACACTCACCTAGGCTTAGCTTTCATCCTTTGAGACGGAGTTTTCAACTTTGCTGAAGGAGGCAAGAAAACTACAGCTTCACCCTCTGGAGCTACTATGAAACCTTTTATTTGCTTTTGCTGTAAGGCCCACAAAAGCAGAGCCTTCACCGTGTCACCTGGGTGAACACACTTAACTGGGTCAGGCTTAAGGAACTGAAAAAAGCCATGCCTGACCTGAACCTTCTTTAGTATCTTCCATATCAGTTTTTTCGCTCACTGCAGTCGTGGTGACAGCAGAGTTAACCATTTCCTGCTTGGAGACATGAAACCATGAATAGAGCATGCATACAACCAGTAAAGAAATGGGTTTGGGATTGGTTTTTCTTTTTAGGTAACCGAGCTTTTCAGTGCTAACCTGTGGCAATGGCTGGATGACAGGTTCATCATTGACCCCCCCAAAAAAGCTTTAGGTTGCATATAAATGATACTATAAGCTTCTTACTAAGAGCATCCCATCAGCCCCTTATAGGCAGAGTAAAATTTCTTCTCTTTTAATGTGATTTTGCTAAAATTGCGGCTCTGGAGGCAAGTGGTTGTGCTGACTTCCCACAGATATAAGTTAGGGTTTGAAAACACTGTTGGATCTGGATACAAACTAGTTTTCTTTGAAAGGTTTTAACCAGACCTATAGAAGCAAACTAGAGGAACAGGAACAGGGGCACAAGGACTATTTCACCATACACTTACTGCTACAGTGCCTGTTAACTGCTGACTGTCCTGAGAAGCTAAGATGTCTGGTGGAGTCTCTGCATTTTCCGAGTCTGAAGGATCTTTCCTCTTCTGCGGATTAGTGGACCCAGGTATCACTGCAGAACAGCAATCAGAGTGAGAATACCATTGCAGTAATTGAACACATATGCCGCCACCCCTCTCCATTCTTGCACTTGCATGAAAGCGTAACAGTGTAACCTTTTAGGTGCAAACATCTGCAGATCAGGTTCAACAGAATGGCCAAAACCAAACATCTCCGAATTACCCTGTGCAGAATTGCAATGTTAAGTAAGCAGTATCTTGAGCCTTCCCCTTTCTAAGCCTCTCATGCTACATGAATACATACAAGTTTCTCATCTCATTGCTACCTTGACTCTTAGCTCTGGAAAACATGCAACAGGTCTTCATGTCTGGCTAAAGCAACAGACCAACGGGATCTTACGCCGTCTCTGTTCCACTCCATTGGGTGTCCATGGGGCACTGCAAAAGTTATTTCACTACAGATGGACTGCCTTCTGCCCTTTGTACTCCTTGATTTCTTCAACTAATAGTGCCCACCTTGTACATCTGCAAGTGCTTCATGGTGGACACTTATGAAGGAGTTTCTCCTTCACCTGCACCCCCAGAATCTGGAGGACTTCCCTTCTAGCTCATTTTGGGTTGTAACTGGAGGATAATGAAGACTACTGAAAAACCTACTGCCTCAGACATTTGGATCTGGAAGTACCTCTTCCAAGTGTTCACCTGGATAAATCCGAAACGCACAGTAACTAAGAGGAGAGTAAACTTTTGCTTTTAATATTAGCACAGACAGAATGCTGGAAAGTGCTCTTCAAACTTGTGATCCATTTACGAGACGGTAGGTGGCAGCACTAGAAAAAGAGCTACAACTTCACGTGGAAATTTCTACTAAAAAGAAATAATCTATACAAGAATTAATCCTTTTAAGAACTGAAATACAGCCAATTTTGCAGCAAGGACATATCCCAGCCTCCAAAGAGAAAAGAACACTACACAGAAAAAAAGCCACCTCAAAATAATTTGATGGTGAAATTGAGCAGAGGAAACATTTCTGGTTTAAGACTAATTTTGATCATGCCATCCCTCTTGCTTTTGTGCTAAAAGCAGCTTTTCCTTGAACTGTGGGTCACAGCCTTAATGAAGATTTACAGAAGAGCTTCAGAACAGGATAAAGGGAAATAAATTATCTACTTTTTCTTCCTCTTGGACAAGTGCCAGGCTTGGACATCCCTTTGGATCAGGAACCCAAGTGTCACATCAGTACTTCAGGCTCTGTATTCCCTCACCATCCATCATATTTGGAACAAAAAAAAAAAAAAAATAAAATCAAACTCAGTCAAATAATCCTGGAAGAAGACATTTTGCAGAAGATGTTCACTGGTAGCACAGGACATTTGATCATGGACAGAAAAGAGGAAAAAAAAAGTATTCCCAGTTCAAAGAAATATAAAGCACTGGCTGAAGGCTGGTGAGAACTAAAAAATAATGGCTATTCTGGGTTCAGCTAAGAGCCTTTTCTGCCGTAAGACAAGCAGCTACATTTGTAGATGGGGCACAAAACCTGCCACATAAAGTACTTAGAGCAGCACTTGCAATGCCCCGCATGCTCCAGCAGGTCACTTCCTGCAGACTGGAGCTGTGCTGCTGCTCATCTCTCTCCGCGAACAGGGACTGCAGCTGAGTGTTTCTTCTCTGCCAGCTGAACCTCCACAACAGAACCCAGCATCTCCGAGGCATCATCCACCCCGTGTGGGTAAGTCAATTGGACCACACCATTCTCTATAACATCACCTTGTTGAGAAGAATCAGAAGCCCTACAGGAGGCTTGGCTTTCCCACTACACGCACCCCACTGCACAAAGGAAGTGTTAACTGCCAAGGTGCCAGACTGGTCCATCAGAAGACCTGTGCTTCCATGGGCACAGGAGTGGCACCATCCCCTGCTGCAGGGAATCTCCCACAGGCACCCACATAGCACAGCCAAACAAGGAACCATGCATGGGGCAAGCAAGAAGGGAGGATAGGTGGGTGCATCCCACTGCAGTTCCAGCAATCCCAGCAGCACATGGCCATGGTGCCCCATCCTCACTCCCTGGGCTAGACGGACTCAGCCTCCACCACTAACACCAGTTGCCAGGCTCAGGAGATACCAGTGCTGTAAGATTGAGTCTGGGGGTTGTTTGTTTTGTTTTTTTACTGAGGTTAACTGCAATGTGTAAGCTGCAAGTGAAGATACTCATTTTAAAACTGAACGATTTAAATTTCATGAAATAACAACATTTTTTTAAATCACCTGCTTCGTTCTGCCTGGCTTCCTTCCCACTATGGACAGGCTCCTCTTCAGCCACATTTATCTGCTTGAGTGAATTAATCTCATGAGAAAGTGACCTTAAAAAAAGTAGAGTCTTTATCTAGTAAAGCCAGGTACTTAATAACAAAACTACCAGCTGTTCATTACCAGCAAGAAATCATTGGATGTTAAGTTGACCATTTGGAAAGGTTTCAACTCCTGCAAAGATAAATGACAGCCACTATATTACGGCTATGTACTGTCATCTAAGGTTTCCTGCAAACCCCATGCTCTGTGGATGCAAGTATAAAAAATTTACTACATTAACATTTACAAAAAAAAAAAAGACACACATCCATATTTTTACATTAGATTATAAAAAATAAAATGGAGGTTTTAAAAAGTACTCTACTTTTAATCTAGAAGTACTATCTAAAAAGTTAATCTAAGATTTGCGACTTGCAGCACCCCTGTTCTCTAAGTTCTTGTGTCATGATTCACTCATCTCGCGTAATGCAATACTTCAAGCTAACGTAAAAACATGTTTATAATTCAAGTTATGCACTTAAATGCCATATGCTTTATTTCCTACTCAGAAACTCAGCAAAAGTAATCACAACATACTGAATTGATTAACAAACCAGTTAAACCTTCCAGCTTCTAAACCACGAATTTGAGTTCTTGAAACTTATTTCCTAAAGTCTATGTCTCTTTCAGGCCAAAGCTAAGAGCCACAAATCCACAAAGGGAATATAAACAAACAGGCATAGAGGGGGATGGGGGGGAACATGTAAAAAGATTAAAATACATAAATTAAAATGCCCACAAACCTCACTGAATGTTTTTGCCCTGTGCCTTTCAAGGAAAATATAGTTTAGAAGAGTCATACTAAGAGCTTACCATCATTGTTTCATCTCCCAAGACTTTTCTAAGAACACTGACGATTTCAAACTCAGCACTGAAAGACATTTTGATTTTTGTTACATTTTTTTGGTTCAAAGTAGCCGGAGTCTTCAAATTAATTTTAACTATCTTTTCTCCATCCTCCTCTGTTCAAAAAAGCAAACAAAAAAACCCAAACAAACAGTTAAATTCTGGTTTAGAGCAAGCCACTTGGTCTATCACCCCAAAAAACATCTGAATAATTGTTTGGGATTTTTTAAAGTCTGTTTTACATCTTGCCCATGTGCTCCCAATTAGTTTGATCACCCATTTCCTTCTCATTGGTTCTAATTGAATATGCTGATCCTTAGGACATTTATAAACTGACCCCTCAACATGTCCTGCTTGGGTCAGGAGAGTAGGTTATTGTGCCAAACAGGCCCACAGACAGTCCAACAATCAGAGCTGGTGCTCTGCTTGACCAAAGGGCACGACAGGGAGGGAGAAGATGACACAGGGATTGTCTTTGGTGATAGCGTGATTTCAGATTGGCTCCTTGTGCCTTGCGGACCCACAGCAAGATGGAGGATAATGCTAGAGAGAATCTTACCCTTAAAGCTGTAACTTCTGACTGCTTCTTTCAACAGCCTCACAGAGTCCCAAAGAGCATCCTTTGAAAACCAAAGCCACCGCATCAGAAGAGCTGAGCACGCACCTGCTGCATTAAGCTAATTCCAAGACTACCTGGGCTTTCATTTTACCTCACTACCCTGCACATAGAAAGTCACACTCTTGGTGCCAGTGTTGAAGTCAATCCAGAACTTCTCCAGCTTCTCGTCTGCCGGCTTCTTCACCTGGGGAAGCACAACAGGAGCACTGCTCTTCCCAGGAAAATCCCAAACTGCTGTATTATTCTCAGTTTAACAAGAGAAAATTGGAAAGCATTGCTCTACATATGTATGTACACATATGCATACCTCCCAGGAATAAGAATTGGGATTAACCTGTGAGTTGCCAGTCTACTGCTCACCCAACCATACCCACAAAGTCAGATGTGGCTCTACCTCAACACAAATGGTTGCATGTTTGGGGCAGGAAAGGGGTTTATGAAAGTTTTTTGTGTTTCTGAGCATTTGAAATAAGCAGAAACAGTGGAACCATGTTCTATTGACTTGATTTTCATTCAATACAACTGCCAAGAATGGTGCCAGAAATACACATACTTAAAAACCAGTAAAGCAATCTGCAGGATCTATAACTGTGACCTCTCCTACAGGGGCATCAGGCTAATCTTGTTTTCTGGCAGTCTGGGAGCAGCTCTGCCAGAGGAATCAGTGTTTTCCTGTCCTACTGTTTCTCTTTAGAGACCTCTCTTCTGTCATCGCCATGAAGAGAAGCACTGTCTGTGTCATCTGGCTGTTACAAAAGCAAAGTCAGCAACAGCAGGCTGAGAGCTAATGACAAATAAGCAAACTTTCCAACTAGAACAGAAGGTTACACTCTACACTCCAGAAAACTAAGCTTTAACGAAAAAGGAGGAAAAGAAAAGCACCCACCATACACCACAAAGAGTAATATTTAAACAGCAGTAACACTGTAGGGAAGGTGTCACAGTGTTAGGGACTATTACCTCATTTGTGTCAACAAAAGCAGATATGCAAGGAAATGAATAGACTCTGGAAGAAAAGCAGACTTCACATGATACATTCAGCATCAGGATATGACTTTATGAAAAATTAAAAAAAATCATCTGGTTCATTTACTAATCTTATTGTTCAAAAATAAAAGAATAAACCCCTAGAAGTAAATTAAGCTTGGAGACTACAGTATTTTAGTAGCAATGTATTACTTTTGACTGATTTTACTTCCAAAAGAACTACCATTAAAACAAATAAAATCTCTTAAGAACTTAATTCTCTGCATATTAGACCTTACGTGTGTGTATATATATATATGTATGCATGAAACGCAGATTGCAATCCTAGCAGCAGCAACGGCACCAGCTTATTCTCTTGTTTTGCAGCTTACCTTCTTCCATCCTCAAGCCTTTCATTTAGCTGGTTAAGAAATTTTCTGCAGTCCTTCAAGACAAATGACATCTTATTAAAAATCAGGCTATATTTCCATTGCAAGAGCTATTCTACTGGGCTGTGTAACCTCTACACCAGTTATAAGCTTTTAGGTAGTGAGTGGGATGCCAAAGGCTACTGGGGAAGAAACAGTCAAGCTGCTACAAATGGTTGGACCCAACTTATGACCAGCAAGCCTCCAAAGATACATGACAAAGAATGAATTGATGTATGCTTAAGAAGTAAAAAAACCTTTGAAATAAGAGCTATTTTAACAATATGCCATTTATATTTGCCAGACCAAAAAAAACAAAACACCACAAACAAACCTCCCTCTGAAAAAGACAATAAAAAAAAAATCACCCAAAAAAACCTAAAAAACAAAACACAACCTCCCACAAATGGTTAAATAACTTTGTGTATTTATAAAATCAGTTTCGTAGGAACTTCTTACAAGGGCATTCTGACTGAACTCAACCAAATCTAGCCCCTATACAGACTTGTCAAGTATGCTGTTTTCAAAATAAAGACCCTCACCGTCTCAAATTCTCCATCCTTGATCTCTTTGAAAGCTTCAGCAAGATAGTTATCTTCAAACCAGTGGTGAACAAGGTCATCTCTCCATTTTTTGGTCATTAACCTACAAAGTGCTTCTGAAAGGGCAACCTGAAGGTCATAATCTATGTGGTAAACATAAGCACAGGATAAATATCATCCCCCAACATAACAGAGGGTTATAGCATTGATATTCTTGCACTTATATGCTACACAGTCATATTCAGCAGCTAGCTCCACGTGTGTTTCACCTAGGAAAACAGCAGAGGATAAGAGCCAAGCATTAACCCCAGGAACCCTCAGCTCCATGTGGTTCAGTGAGGTAAAGGTGCAAAGCATTTAATCAACACATTTGTGTGTCAGGAGATGGTTTTGGGGATCAGGGAGGGGACAAGAGTGAAGCGTCACTGCTTTTGCACTGGGATTAAGTTACATTTCACATACCATGGTATTGCCCTAGAAAGTGTTATTGCTAGGAGAAAACAAAAATTATTTTGCACAGGAGGCTATAAACCTATTAACTGAAGTTTGTCCACATCATGGCAAAGTAGGTCAAGTTTTCTTCTTAAAGACTAAGAAAGCCAGCATACTGTGTAAATAAGTACTTAAAGCTGATCTAATTACCTTCCTACATTCTTCAGTTTAGCTTTTCTCATTAGTTAATACAAATTACTAATGCTAATCAGACAGAACAAATGCATTGTTGCATCTAGCAATTTTGATTAATACTTTCTTAAGGTACCACCAAGTTTTTCTCCCCAGGTATCAGCTCTTCACAAGGAAAGAATTAAAATTATAATTAGTTGATAATAAATAAGCAGAAGTAGTAAAGCTGTAGAGGCCCCCCCAGCTTCATAAGAATAACCACTAAATACTTCTTACCACCAACCACCAGCATAGTTTTTGCAAGGTCTTCCCTGAAACAACATAATGCAACACATTAAAGTGGAAATAACTTTAACTCTTCCTGCAGGGAAGAGGAAGGAAATTTAGCTACAGGAGATGGAGGGAAAACCACTTACGTGAGTGAGCACATCTCCTCAGACAGAGGGAATTTCTTCCTCTCCTCCCGTGGGAGACTTCCAAGTATAGAGTTGAGGGTCTTCAAGGCCTTTCCCCCACAGAAGGAGGAGCAGAAAAGGAAGGGAAACGGCTCAGGAACATATTTTTCACATCTTGTATATCATCACGCCCACTTGTGTGTGCATGTACCTGTAATTTCCTTCTAGTAGGAATCTTACCTCCTGCCTCAGGCTCCAGTCAATATTTTCTTCTGTCACTAGATGCACTAGTTCAGGTAAAAATAAATTCACGACCTCTATTTGCCCTAGAAAAATGATTGTAAAAGTTACAGCTAGCCGTGAGCTGGTTTCCTTGTAAAAAAACACAGTTGAAGCAATTACAGTTTGTTGTACTGAAGGAGTAAAAAATACCACAGGTGTGGATTCATTTTAAAACCAGGCTTGCAAATATATAACTCCAGACAGAAAAGGGAACTAGTAAATTCTTTGTGAAAAAGAGCTTCAGATACTTCTACTGCTGACTAGGGTAACTACTTAAATAGGTATAGAAAGAAAAGGCTACTTGGTAACCCCAAGATATAAATCTGTAATTTATGGCTTTTGTCAAAGTCAACAGAGCAAACCACTAGAGATTACCTAGAAGGTGCTCATGTGCTCCTGCTCATTCTGTTCCCACTAGAATAAGCCATAAGAATGAATAAACTCCAGTTACCCAGCCCACAGTGTAATGCTTCATTTCTACATGACTTGTGAGCCTGGATAGCTGGGCACACAGATACTTGTTTTTTCTGAAAGCACCTGCTCCCCTGCACTAATGGAAAGCCAGCTGCAGCCACAGACAAAATCTTGCTGCTGTAATGAATGAGACACAGACAGACATCCTTCTGCCTTGTTAGAGTAGCTGAAGGAATTACCGTATTATTCTGTGGAGGTGGCTACATTCAGCAAGGAAATAACATCTGAAGCTAGTAGGAACAGATGTGCAAGAGCAGACTGTTGAGCCTGAACTCCTTTATAAAGCACCACTTACTCTGACCAAGGGGAACACTTGATACCAGCCACTTAAGCAAAATAATATGACTACTTATTTATTTTGGCATATTCAAAATAATCAAGTAAAAGAAACAGTAAGAGGCTTTGTGCTCTGATGTAAACGGTAATGAAAATTAACTGGAGAGAAATCAGCAGGAGGATTTAAAGAAGACATTGCAGAGAGGAGGAAGAAGAGGTAGGGAATGGAGGGGAGAAGAGAAAGTGGATGCAGTTCAAATAGAATTAGGAAATGTGCTCCTGAAACTGAAATTTGGGATACTGAGGAACTGAAGAAGGCAAGGGGAGGAAAAAAAAAAATATATATATATACATATACTGACCTTTCTTACTGCACTTGAAAATCACCTGATGGGAAAAAGTAAAGGAAGCCTTCATTAACACACCACAACCCAAGCACAGCAGTACTCAAAGCACTGAGACATTTATGCCCCCATCATCACAACTTTCAGGGGCTAAATTACATAAAACACCAGTGTACTCACATAAGGAAAAGCAGGGCCACCTGATACAGGTATGTCACATACGGTAACCCCAATCATACAGGTTGGAATTATGCAGGGAAGGTAAAGGGAGAGAAGCACCCACTTGCCCCAGAGATTTCATCAGTGCTAGAGTGCAGTACCCCCAGCTTCCCTGGGAAACCCACATCATGGCATCACTTTGTTACTTTTATTACACGTATGGGCCTATGTAGAAACACATTTTATGCTTACACACCACAGTACCAGATATCATAGCATATTTGAAGAGTGTCAGGGTTCCCTGAGGGAAATTAAAGTTAAAAAAAAAAAAAAAAAAAAAGAAAGAAACCCACAATAAATAAAACACTACATCATCCTCCACAGTGAGAGAATATGGAAGAAATGGACCAGGAAGAAAAAGAAATCAAGTTTTGGCAAATAAATAACTTATAAAGTATTTAATATAATTTTAAAGTGTTTAGTAAAGAAAATTTGATTTTGATTTTGCTCAAGTATTTTTTATCAAGTCCCTTAAAAAGAGTAATGAGTATTTGCATGAATACTGATGCAGAAACTGATACAGTTCCGGTACAGTACAGACAAAAAGATAGAGAGAACAACTGGGGAAAGAAGCTTAAAGATTTCTCCCTCATGCAAATTTACATCACCAGGCCTCCAATACCTTTAAATTTGTGAATGCTTGAAATAGCAAGTTAAATGAAAATAAGCAGATGTAAGCAGGTCAGATTATTCTTTAAAAGCAAATCAGCTGCTTCAAACACAGCAGGAACAAATCGCCAGGATCACCTTAGCAAACACATTTGCACTTCAGGTGCAGCTCAGTGTCAGTAACTTGTGTTTTTATAAATGGAGCTTCAGCACAGAGCCTTTTCTTTAAAAAATTCATTCAGAAATTTTTGCACCTTTCCCTGCAAAAAAAAAAAAAACAAAAACAAACCAAACAAAAAAAGCAAACAAACAAAAAAAAAAGAACACTTGGCTCTGTGCAATCCTACAGCAGCTTCTCCCAGGTGTGTCAAACTCCAGCCTAATGCCTGCCCAGGCTTAGTGCTAGGACACAAGGTCTGCTTAACTACTCATTTCTTAACTGTTTGTGAAGAGTTGGCTTTCTTATTCAATAAAGGCAACCCTTCTGCCCTCTTAAGACACATACATACCAATGCAGAGTCAAAGAAGTCTTCAAAAAGTTGCATCAATAATCTATTCTCATTTGGGTCCATGAGGTTCACAAAATCTCTTGCTCTTTCAAACCAAGATACCAAGTAAAAGTTAAAAGAATCAGTTAAAAACAGAGTTGTTAATCCTTATAACACAGATATCTGCAGGAAAGCTTAAACACAGAGACAAGTTTTTGTAGTCCTTGAACTTCAATCATGTTCTCTATCAAAACCTACACAGCATTAAGGAGCTCAAATTTTGCTAAGAGGACATTAAAAGTGACACCCTTACAGCTGCTCCACAGGACTTATTCCTCCGCTTCCCTCCTCAACCCTCTTTTTGTCCTCCTTTCTCATGCCAAGGCACCCACTCTTGGTGCTCAGGAACTCCTAGACACAATGCATGCTGCTAGTGGCATCATTGCCTCTATGGAGATTTCTAGTAGACATCAATTCATAGTAAAACAATGTTTTAAAGATTTGTCAAGCTTTTTCAAAGTCATTATTTTAATACTTTAGCATTTAAAAGCATATTGCACAGCATCACACACCTACGGCTAGCTACAAATCTATGCTTGACTGGAGGTACAGATGTCAGATTGGTGAAATTTTGTTATTAATCTCTCCATACAGGAATTTTGAGCAACTGTATCCCTGAAAAGTATAGCTGCAAGGCAGGACAACAACATTTTGGACTGCTGACTTTTTGGTACAACTCCACTAACACAGAGTGAGTGTTAGCTGCTCCCTCCCACCTATGCTAGATCCAGGTATTCCTCATCTTCCACACAAGTACATTTCTGCTACTACAAGTATTACCAACTGACAAAAGTATTGTGCCAGAAGACAAAATGTAGTTGCAGATTAGATGCACCTGGTTTACCATGGATCTAAAAAGGGACCTTCATAGGGAATACATCAGTTTATAGAAGTATAAAACTCTGCTCATCAGTTCCATTACTAGGACTGCATTTTACTGGAGCACTTAAAATACATTTAGGAATTCTATACTATTTCTCAAATAGGACTAACCCAAACTCACCCTCTTTCCACTGTCAGCTTAAAACAAAACAAAACAACCAAAAACAAAACCCAAAAAACATAAATCCATATAGTCAGGTAGTAAACAAAGCCATGACATTAGCTGCTGTACTGAAAGCAATGCAACAAAAGCAAGTATTTTTTTCCCCACTGAGCTCATACAATAAATTAAAAAAATTAAAAAAAAGAAAGAAAAAAAACCCCAAGATATTCCTTTCTGTGACAAGCCGTCTTCTAGTTTGCACTTCCTTGGAGTTCTTTTCCTGATACAAGCAACCTTAAATCACATTAGTAATGTCATATGCAATTTTATACTCATCTTTTCTACCAGTCCTTGCTCAATAAACAAACGCGTCCTGTCCTGAAGGTCACTTTTAAAGTATAGCTGAATACATTTCAGCATCAGTGAAACATTCTGGAATTCATTCTTGTCCAGCTCCTACAGAAACACAAAGCGGTGCACTTTATTAGTCTGATACCCACAGAGCTAGGTGTTAGAGTTGTTTATTTATGGTACTTGCCTTTCTCAGTATTTTGTCCAGCTGGTTGAGAAAAGATTTCCTGTATTTCTGAGGAGATTCTCTCTCCTGAAGCAGTTCACCTATTTCCTGAAATCCTTTCCCCTTAAAAGCATCAGCGAGAAGTGATTTGAGCTGCACAGGGGAGGGAAAGCAAGCAGCTAGTGAGTAAAACAAACAGGCATTTCAACTGTAACAACACTTGCAATGCTATTTGAAGTTACAATCTTTTTTGATTCTCTGTGTTTACATTGCTTCACTACTTCCATTTTACTGTTACATCTCAAAGTGAGCCATCAGTCCCTCTCCAAAAGAGACAGGACACTTGAAACTGAGTAATCTTAAATGATACTGGATAAAGAAATCAGCAACTCCTTAGTACACTCAGTTTGCAAGTCATACCATGTTCCACAACTATAATGGTAATTTCTTTTATTAAAGAAAGATTAAGGGGTCTGCAGCACTTCCCATGTTATTTATATTAAGCTGCAAAAATTCTACATCATACCATACCCATCTAAAGACACACATTTAAGTATACGTAGACTAGATGTTAAGATAAAACTAAGGATACATTTAAAAGGTATTTACATAGTCTTCTGCTTTAGCTAACACGTTGCCGTTCACCTCTCTGTTAAGTTCTTCACGTTCTTGTTCCTTTAAAAAGGGGAAGAAAAAAAAAAAACAGAAAAAAAACAGGAGAACAAAACAAAAATCCTCTCCTGCCCAAAAGCTGAAAACTGCTCACCTTCTCTCTCCCAGAAAGCTATTTTCCCCTCCTTAACCGCTAGGGAAAGTTTAAGTCACCCAATGCTTCTGAACCAATGGTTTATGGAAGCTGAAACCACGAAAAGCCACTTCGGAGACCCGCAGGCATCCCCGTGTTGGGGGCATCACTCTAGGGGTGCCCCCCAGAAAGGGACATCAGCCTGTGAGAATCCCCCAGAAAAAGAAGCGTCACTCTGAGCGGAGGAGCCCCGTTCCACATCCCACTGCCTGTTCCCCGCCCCAGAGAGAAGCGCTTACCTCAGCCATAGTGCGGGAGAAGAAAGAGGGTGAGGGGCAAGTACAGCTGCTCCTTCACCCCCTCCCCACGACCCTCGCACGACCGTGTCCGAGTGCTACCGAGTACACCCGCGTTTGAGGCGGAGGAAGAAGAGCTCGCTAGTCTTTCCCACGGCTTTAAGAGTTCTTCTTTCCTCAGTCAACCTAACTACCAAAGTGTATTCCCCAAGGGAAAAAAGCCGGGTTTCGCCCTAGCACTAAAGGAGCCGCACCTGTGTGGCAGGGGCGGCTCGGACGGGTCCGTCCGCACCTGGATGGTAGGGTATGACCCTGCTCCGAGCAGACGAGTACGAAAGGGGAGCCCAGCCCCACAGTGAGGGCTGCCTCCTGTCCTTGAGAGGGGGATCTACAGCCGGTGCCCTCTGCTACGGGATGGATTTTGTTTTGCACAATTAAGGGTGAAATTCAGTAAATTTTCGGAGGGGATAGAAGCGAATGAGAAAGCCTTTGAGAACAGGTGGGATCATTTAAGTGATTACGGCAGCACGAAACGTTCACCGATTTTGTCTCTATAATATTATGCATGCTTTAAGTTGTTTCTGTCTCTCGTAACTAAAACCAAACTCAAAAAGAAAAATAAAAAGCCCTACCGGGTAGATTTTCCAAAAAGGAGGCAACAATAACAAAAAAAAAAAGTCTGTAACTTTGTAATAAGTGAAAAGGTGCTGATCAGTAAGACTACAGTGACCGCAGTTTCATGCTTTAAACCTTATGCCACCGAGCACAGAAGGGAAAGGAGAACATCCCTGTTAGCGCTTAATTCGTTTCCACCTAAACTTAAAGAGCAGGTGCACCAGCGCATTTAAGGAAGACAGGGTTACTAACGCGCTGCCTTTTTCTTGCTTCATGGGTCTTTTCAAGTTGCGGGCAGCTCTGAGCTGCGCTCGAAATCAAACACTGAGGGCGTCTCTACTAAGTGGAGACGCGCCTGAAGAGGGACACCTCCTCGAGCCGTCCCCCAGCTGAGCCCTGCAGCTGACGGGTTAGACTTCCAGCCCCAGTGCTCTGGGCTGGATTGGGAAAACCCCCTTAGCTACCCCTCCACGGCAGGTGGGGGGAGCGGAGGAGTAGTGCAAGCCTTGCCCACCCCCCCCATGGGGGGTGTATGTCCTGCTGCCCCGCCTGCGGGGCCGGCCGGAGCTCCCCTCACTACCTCCAGCAGCCCCGACGGTATAAAAAAGCAGGAGCCGCTGCCTACCGCTATCCGCCGGTATGAAGCTCACCTGGGACATCAACGACCCCCAGCTCCCGCAGGTACCTGCTAGTTATAAAGTGGGTCTGGGCAGCCAAGGTGGCACGGGGTAAATGTCTTTGCGAGGTAAAGCTTGGTATTGTGGCAGCTTTAACTCTGCATCACCTTTTCAAATGTAATTGCCTGTGTCTGGATGGGCTGCAATAGTCCTTACAAAGTGGCTTGTAAAAAAACATGGATTTGATAACGCAGCTTTGGCCACCTGTGTATGACCTCCTAAAATAATCTCAAGACCTACAGTTTGACGGGTTTCCTTCTCCCTTTTCCCCCATTTAAAGAAGTGTCGCAAGGAAGCTTGGATTGCCTATTTCCTGCTGCTGTAATTCAAGTCATCTAAATATTTAATTGTTTTGTTGATGTGACATTTTACTGTCAGTTACCACTTTGCGTTTTTTTCTAGTTGTGAGCTTCAAGTGCTTTTCTTTTTAATTCACAACTTTTTTCCTCTTGGAGTTTACTTCATTTTACAAAACTTATACAATTAGAGAATGGCTCGATGCTGTAAATTCTATTAGCTTACCTGTATTCACATGCATTTAACATGCATATGTTAAATGAGTGTTGCAGAAACTTTTTACTTGCTCTTTGCTTTAAACTTGGAGTTTAAGATCTTGGTTGGTCTTTTATTGTTCTGGTAATTTTATTTTGGTGAGGAGCTCCACAAAGAGTGAAATCCCAAACTGAAATGTTCTTTCTCTGAGCCACTATGCAGGTATTTGAAGTATATCTGCAATGGCAAATTTTATTTCTGTTTTTTGGCTGAAGCCTTATTCAGCTCCTTTTTGATGCACTTTAATAAACCATTCCTTAGTTAAAAATTCTAGGTTTAAGCCTGCAGATGCACAGTCATATGATGGAGAGAACATTTAATTAAAAGCATGTGTGAGCAGGGTGGGTTTGATCATGCCTGGATGATCCATAGCCAGACTAGTAAGTTTTTGTGAACAAAGCTGCTCTCTTACAGCTGGGTAACCCCACTGCAAAGAGGCACCTGTGACAACAAACCATGTTATTATGGGTCATGATGCAAAAGGAAAGGATGCTGACTTTCTTTTGAGACCTGGAAGCTTAAACTGGCTTTCCTTGGGCTTTTCTCTCAATAATTAATTCTCTCAATTCATCTGCTGTTCAGGTGATCTCAGAAAAAAAGCTCTTTTTCCCCATTACGCGCTTTGTAACAGTCCAAAACAACAGGTTGCGCTACTATGCTAATGTTCTCCTGCTATCCTCCTTGCTGCCTTGCCCTCCCACCTCTGTTTGTCCTGCTGCAGGAGCCCAAGCACTTTGATGCTTTCCAGGAGTGGCCCGATGGCTACGTGCGGCTCATCTACTCCAGCGAGGAGAAGAACGCACAGAGACACCTCAGTGGCTGGGCCATGCGCAACACCAACAACCACAACTGCCAGATCCTCAAGAAGTCCTGCCTGGGGGTGGTGGTGTGCTCCCGGAGCTGCGCCCTGCCTGGCGGAGCTAGGCTGCAACTTCGCCCAGCCATATGTGACAAGGCTCGGCAGAAGCAACAAAGTGAGAGGAGCAAAGGAGAGCTGGGATGCCCAAGGGACCCCGTTTCCTTCAGCTGGGCTTGAGCTCTAAATTTGGATCGCCCTTGTTTGCATGCAGATTAAAGCATCATTGCAAAGACTGTGATGAATACATTTATTTTGTGATTAATATATATATGTCTAAATTTCATCAATGTCAAAAATACTGAAAGGGAAATGGGTCTACGATTCATTATCTCATTAGCATTTATTTCAACTATGCAGCTCTAGTTTCTGTCATTCAGTTACACTTGGTAGTCTGTGTTGCATTTCCTTGAACATTGTATTTTAATCTGAATTTCAGTGAAGGCAGATCATATTGTTCTTGAGCTGTCTTTACTCTAGAACAACATCCTTGTCTTTAAACAGTGTCTTTAGTAGTTTACTTGTCTATTTGCAGAGAAAGCCTGCCCAAACTGTAACTCAGCCCTTGAGCTCATCCCTTGCCGAGGACACAGTGGCTATCCAGTCACTAACTTCTGGAGGCTTGATGGCAAAGCAATATTTTTCCAGGTAAAAAGCTGCATATATATATATGCACATGCATATATGTTATAACTATATATAAATTATATCTGTATAAGAATAATATTGAGAGAGAGACCGTTTTCCCTTCTCTTCCCCCCCCCTCCTTTATTCTTTTTTCCTTGCATAGCATTGAGCATGGTGAACATGTTGGAGTTTTGGTCCATGACTGAACTCCTCTGTAGTGCAAATGCGGCAAGAATAAAAGAATAACACTTGGGTGTCCTTTTAGAAGCACTGCTTCTGAGTTAACTGTATTCAATTTTAACTACAACAACACCATGTCTCATTTGTGTAGTTTAAAAAGTAGGCTTTTAACAAAAAGGTCGTCCTGCACCCTGGTGTAGCTGACAACTGAATGTCACCCAGGACCTAATATTTATTTCCTATTAAAATAAATGGAAAGAAAAGCCTCACTTAAATTGTACAAGCTGAAATGTGAAATGCCTACTTTGTGTGAAAATAATATTTGAATTTTAAGAGGATTTAAAGACTTGGCAGAAAAGAGGGAAATTTAAAAAGCTAAAATTTGAAATGCTGGTTTCTTCTTTTTTAGCAACAGTAGGACAAAAAAAAAAATCACGAAAAGCTCTGTTCTACTAGATTACATTCTCTGCTGGATGATTTTTTCTTTTGCTTGACCCACATGGCAGTGAATTCTGCTCTCCAGTCAGTATATGGAAACAAATTAGCCATGTTCTCAAATTCTCATGTGTGGTGGTGTTATTATTGTTGTTCAGATATTCTGTTACAGACATGCAAAACCTGAAGATTTTTGCCATCAAAATAGTTGATAAATCATTGCTTAGAAGTTAATTCTTACTTGAGAAAGGACAACATTTTTTTTGTTTCCTCCTTTGTCTTGGGGACTATTTGAAGGCCCATTCAAGGGAATGTAATGGGTAAAGACATGTTAAATATATTTTCATCATGTATCAGTATAGCTTTGGATACATGGATCTGCATATCCATGGATATTTCAACAGCAGAGGATCTTTGGATGCCTTTCCATGTTATACATTCCAGTCCTATTCAAGACTGGTGGCGTGAAACCTCTTTATTTTTTATTTACATTGTTTTAGTGGTGGCTGTTACTACAAAGTAGAACTGCAATGCTGGACTGCAGAAAACCAACCAAACTAAATTTATAAACTACCCCCCTCCCCCCCGTTCTAATTAGTTACTCCTGAATGCCACAAATACAGATAACACCCTTGCTCCTTCATCAACTCCGCAGTCCCCATTGACTTTGCTTTTTCTTTCTATATACCTGCAAATCCCTTTTTACAGTAAATCCCTTCTTGTTGTTTAGTACCTCCTGCACATTCTCCTGTGCTGTGGCTATGTCTCATTCTACTTATTGCATTTTCTTTTCTTTTACCTCCTTCCAGTTCACATCTAATTCTTTAATACTAATTTAGGCTAAAGGAGTCCATGACCACCCCAGACCAGAGAGTAAATTGGAGGCAGAAGCAAGACGAAGTGCATTTAAGAAGCAAATGTCCTCTTTCCCCCATTCCCAGAAAAAAAGACCTCTAAACTCAGAGGTAAGTCAAAATCACTACTCAATTATAACAGTGTCGTAAGCATGTACTGGGGATCCTCAAGCAAAACAACATTTTACATCATGCTACATCTGTTCATTTGGGGCTCAAATGAGCAATAGCACACACGTTGAGATATATACATGAGTGTGGGCAGTATTGATTCATGAATCTCAAAGATGTTCTTGTCCTTGTCAGGCAGGAAGATACCACGACAGCAGTGGTTATGCCAATAACCTACAAAATCTGCCCTGCGTGGATGGCCCAGAAAGGGTCGGTATCATCACAGACACCAGTTTTTCAATTCCAGCCCAGTCTTACCCTTCACTGCAAAACTCTGACCTTTACAAAACATCTTACGACACAGCCAGCTTCCAAGAGGACCAGTTGTCACCATACCAGAAGTGCTCCAATCCAAGGATCTACATGCCCAGGCCATGCAGCTATGAGTTTGGAGTTCCTACCTTTATAAGCTCCAGCCCTTACCCAACATTTTACAAAGATCTGACAAGTCCTGCCATTGACACAGATTCCCTCAGTTTGAACGGATCTCACTACAATGCAGTGACCACCCATGATAAAAGCTTCAATAACCCTGGCAGACACTATGGATTGAAATCAGCTTGGGGGAAAACTGGCAGCGGAGACCATAGTGACTATGGACAGATGCAAACCGGTGCTAACTACCCTTGCTACAGTGGAGACTACCCTTGCAGG